GTGAGTGAGGTGAGTGAGGTGAGTGAGTGAGGTGAGTGAGGTGAGTGAGTGAGTGAGGTGAGTGAGGTGAGTGAGGTGAGTGAGGTGAGTGAGTGAGGTGAGTGAGTGTGAGTGAGTGAGTGAGGTGAGTGAGTGAGTGAGTGAGTGAGTGAGGTGAGTGAGTGAGTGAGTGAGTGAGTGAGTGTGATGGTGAGTGTGAGTGAGTGAGTGAGTGAGTGAGTGAGTGAGTGAGTGAGTGAGTGAGGTGAGTGAGTGAGTGAGTGAGGTGAGTGAGGTGAGTGAGGTGAGTGAGTGAGGTGAGTGAGGTGAGTGAGGTGAGTGAGTGAGTGAGTGAGTGAGTGAGTGAGTGAGTGAGTGAGTGAGGTGAGTGAGGTGAGTGAGTGAGTGAGTGAGTGAGTGTGGTGAGTGAGTGAGTGAGTGAGGTGAGTGAGTGAGTGAGTGAGGTGAGTGAGTGAGTGAGTGAGTGAGTGAGGTGAGTGAGGTGAGTGAGTGAGTGAGTGAGTGAGTGAGTGAGTGAGTGAGTGAGTGAGGTGAGTGAGGTGAGTGAGTGAGTGAGTGAGTGAGTGAGTGAGTGAGTGAGTGAGTGAGTGAGTGAGTGAGTGAGTGAGTGAGTGAGTGAGTGAGTGAGTGAGTGAGTGAGTGAGTGAGTGAGTGAGTGAGTGAGTGAGTGAGTGAGTGAGTGAGTGAGTGAGTGAGTGAGTGAGGTGAGTGAGTGAGTGAGTGAGTGAGTGAGTGAGTGAGTGAGTGAGTGAGTGAGTGAGTGAGTGAGTGAGTGAGTGAGTGAGTGAGTGAGTGAGTGAGTGAGTGAGTGAGTGAGTGAGTGAGTGAGGTGAGTGAGTGAGTGAGTGAGTGAGTGAGTGAGTGAGGTGAGGTGAGTGAGTGAGTGAGGTGAGTGAGTGAGTGAGTGAGTGAGTGAGGTGAGTGAGTGAGTGAGTGAGTGAGTGAGTGAGTGAGGGTGAGTGGGAGTGAGGTGAGTGAGTGAGGTGAGTGAGTGGTGAGTGAGTGAGTGAGTGAGTGAGTGAGTGAGTGAGTGAGTGAGGTGAGTGAGTGAGTGAGTGAGTGAGTGAGTGAGTGAGTGAGGTGAGTGAGGTGAGTGAGTGAGTGAGTGAGTGAGTGAGGGTGAGTGAGTGAGTGAGTGAGTGAGTGAGTGAGTGAGTGAGTGAGTGAGTGAGTGAGGTGAGTGAGTGAGTGAGTGAGTGAGTGAGTGAGTGAGTGAGTGAGTGAGTGAGTGAGTGAGTGAGTGAGTGAGTGAGTGAGTGAGTGAGTGAGTGAGTGAGGTGAGTGAGTGAGTGAGTGAGTGAGTGAGTGAGTGAGTGAGTGAGTGAGTGAGTGAGTGAGTGAGTGAGTGAGTGAGTGAGTGAGTGAGTGAGTGAGTGAGTGAGTGAGTGAGTGAGTGAGTGAGTGAGTGAGTGAGTGAGTGAGTGAGTGAGGTGAGTGAGTGAGTGAGTGAGTGAGTGAGTGAGTGAGTGAGTGAGGTGAGTGAGTGAGTGAGTGAGTGAGTGAGGTGAGTGAGTGAGTGAGTGAGTGAGTGAGTGAGTGAGTGAGTGAGTGAGGTGAGTGAGTGAGTGAGTGAGTGAGTGAGTGAGGTGAGTGAGTGAGTGAGTGAGTGAGTGAGTGAGTGAGTGAGTGAGTGAGTGAGTGAGTGAGTGAGTGAGTGAGTGAGTGAGTGAGTGAGTGGTGAGGAGTGAGTGAGTGAGTGAGTGAGTGAGTGAGTGAGTGAGTGAGTGAGTGAGTGAGTGAGTGAGTGAGTGAGTGAGTGAGTGAGTGAGTGAGTGAGTGAGTGAGTGTGAGTGAGTGAGTGAGTGAGTGAGTGAGTGAGTGAGTGAGTGAGTGAGTGAGTGAGTGAGTGAGTGAGTGAGTGAGTGAGTGAGTGAGTGAGTGAGTGAGTGAGTGAGTGAGTGAGTGAGTGAGTGAGTGAGTGAGTGAGTGAGTGAGTGAGTGAGTGAGTGAGTGAGTGAGTGAGTGAGTGAGTGAGTGAGTGAGGTGAGTGAGTGAGTGTGAGTGAGTGAGTGAGTGAGTGAGTGAGTGAGTGAGTGAGTGAGTGAGTGAGTGAGTGAGGTGAGTGAGTGAGTGAGTGAGTGAGTGAGTGAGTGAGTGAGTGAGTGAGTGAGTGAGTGAGTGAGTGAGTGAGGTGAGTGAGTGAGTGAGTGAGTGAGTGGGTGAGTGAGTGAGTGAGTGAGTGAGTGAGTGAGTGAGTGAGTGAGTGAGTGAGTGAGTGAGTGAGTGAGTGAGTGAGTGAGTGAGTGAGTGAGTGAGTGAGTGAGTGAGTGAGTGAGTGAGTGAGTGAGTGAGTGAGTGAGTGAGTGAGTGAGTGAGTGAGTGAGTGAGTGAGTGAGTGAGTGGTGAGTGAGTGAGTGTGAGTGAGTGAGTGAGTGAGGTGAGTGAGTGAGTGAGTGAGTGAGTGAGTGAGTGAGTGAGGTGAGTGAGTGAGTGAGTGAGTGTGAGTGAGTGAGTGAGTGAGTGAGTGAGTGAGTGAGGTGAGTGAGTGAGTGAGTGAGTGAGTGAGTGAGGTGAGTGAGTGAGTGAGGTGAGTGAGTGAGTGAGTGAGTGAGTGAGTGAGTGAGGTGAGTGAGTGAGTGAGGTGAGTGAGTGAGTGAGTGAGGTGAGTGAGTGAGTGAGGTGAGTGAGTGAGTGAGTGAGTGAGTGAGTGAGTGAGTGAGTGAGTGAGGTGAGTGAGTGAGTGAGTGAGTGAGTGAGTGAGTGAGTGAGTGAGTGAGTGAGTGAGTGAGGAGTGAGTGAGTGAGTGAGTGAGTGAGTGAGGTGAGTGAGTGAGTGAGGTGAGTGAGTGAGTGAGTGAGTGAGTGAGTGAGTGAGTGAGTGAGTGAGGTGAGTGAGTGAGTGAGGTGAGAGTGAGTGAGTGAGTGAGTGAGTGAGTGAGTGAGTGAGTGAGTGGTGAGTGAGTGATGTGAGTGAGTGAGTGAGTGAGGTGAGTGAGTGAGTGAGTGAGTGAGGTGAGTGAGTGAGTGAGTGAGTGAGTGAGGTGAGTGAGTGAGTGAGGAGTGAGTGAGTGAGTGAGTGAGTGAGTGAGTGAGTGAGTGAGTGAGTGAGTGAGTGAGTGAGTGAGTGAGTGAGTGAGTGAGTGTGAGTGAGTGAGTGAGGTGAGTGAGTGAGTGAGTGAGTGAGTGAGGTGAGTGAGTGAGTGAGTGAGAGTGAGTGAGTGAGTGAGTGAGTGAGTGAGTGAGTGTGAGTGAGTGAGTGAGTGAGTGTGAGTGAGTGAGTGAGTGAGTGAGTGAGTGAGTGAGTGAGTGAGTGAGTGAGTGAGTGAGGGTGAGTGAGTGAGTGAGTGAGTGAGTGAGTGAGTGAGGTGAGTGAGTGAGTGAGTGAGTGAGTGAGGTGAGTGAGTGAGTGAGTGAGTGAGTGAGTGAGTGAGTGAGTGAGTGAGTGAGTGAGTGAGGTGAGTGAGTGAGTGAGTGAGTGAGGTGAGTGAGTGAGTGAGTGGTGAGTGAGTGAGTGAGTGAGTGAGTGAGTGAGTGAGTGAGTGAGTGAGTGAGTGAGTGAGTGAGTGAGTGAGTGAGTGAGTGAGTGAGTGAGTGAGTGAGTGAGTGAGTGAGTGAGTGAGTGAGTGAGTGAGTGAGTGAGTGAGTGAGTGATGAGTGAGTGAGTGAGTGAGTGAGTGAGTGAGTGAGTGAGTGAGTGAGTGAGTGAGTGAGTGAGTGAGTGAGTGAGTGAGTGAGGTGAGTGAGTGAGTGAGTGAGTGAGTGAGTGAGTGAGTGAGTGAGTGAGTGAGTGAGTGAGTGAGTGAGTGAGTGAGTGAGTGAGTGAGTGAGTGAGTGAGTGAGTGAGTGAGTGAGTGAGTGAGTGAGTGAGTGAGTGAGTGAGTGAGTGAGTGAGTGAGTGAGTGAGTGAGTGAGTGAGTGAGTGAGTGAGTGAGTGAGTGAGTGAGTGAGTGAGTGAGTGAGTGAGTGAGTGAGTGAGTGAGTGAGTGAGTGAGTGAGTGAGTGAGTGAGGTGAGTGAGTGAGTGAGTGAGGTGAGTGAGTAAGTGAGTGAGTGAGGTGAGTGAGTGAGTGAGTGAGTGAGTGGTTGAGGTGAGTGAGTGAGTGAGGGGAGTGAGTGAGTGAGTGAGTGAGGTGAGTGAGTGAGTGAGTGAGTGAGTGAGTGAGGTGAGTGAGTGAGTGAGTGAGTGAAGTGGGTGGGCGGGTGGGTGAGTGAGTGAGTGAGTGAGTGAGTGAGTGAGTGAGTGAGTGAGGTGAGTGAGTGAGTGAGTGAGTGAAGTGGGTGGGTGGGTGGGTGGGTGAGTGAGTGAGTGAGTGAGTGAGGTGAGTTGAGTGAAATATTCTAGTAGAAGTTGGGGAACTTTATTTATTGTTATTAAACTTAATGTTTTTGTGAATGATGTTATTTAAAGCCTGTAAATGTAAGACACAGTCATGTATCCATCTACATTGTAGTCAGTTTAAATGAACATAACACCAGCCTGCCCAGGGACTACAGGTGGAAATTAGCATCTCTGCTATAACCTGGTACATGTATTTCTCCTTTTGTGTTAATGCTTAACTGTACACTGTCCCTGTTCAAATAAAGTACATACTGTACAATACAATACAATACTGACCTGTACCTTCCCCAGCCTGGACTGATGGGCTGCACCCCCCTCCCCGCGTGGGTCTACATTCTGAGTCCTGGGTCTACAGCCTGAGTTCGGGATCTACAGCCTCAGTCCTGGGTCTACAGCCTCAATCCTGTATTAAGAAGCGAGCCACCTCAGAGGTTGGGCATAAAGATAACAGTATATTGCGGACCATAAAACACAGTCCACTTCCTTGTTCTTAGTGCAGAAAGAGACAGACCTTTCACTGAAGCATGGAGGACTCGTACATCATCGCCATAGACCTGGGGACCTCCTAGTGGATATGCCTACAACATCACTCCTGCAGCAGAAGACATCAAACCTTTCGTCAAACAATGGGGAAAAGAGTTGGGTCTGGAAACTCCAAAGACCCCTAACTGTATCCTGTTTGACCTGGATCAAAAGTTCAAATCCTTTGGATACGAGGCAAGAATGGCTTTCACCAGTATGAAACCATCTGAGATCAAACAGTGCTACTTTTTCGATAACTTCAAAATGGCTCTCTACGGAAAGGTACGTTTGATTAAGGACTTATGTACAAGAGAGAGACCAGAGAGAGAGACCAGAGAGAGACCAGAGAGAGATAAGAGAGAGACCAGAGTGTGACCAGAGAGAGACCATATATATATTTCATATATATTTGGTTGTAAGTAATACAGGTTCAGAACTATTTACTATTTCATAACCGATTGGACATAGGGACTAAATACTCTGTTTTCAAACTAGTTACACTATAATGACAATGAAATTCAACTGAGTATTGTCCTTAAGTATACAAGATCTTCAATGGATTACACTTTTATTGAATTGTTAATATTTTTTTCTTATTGACAGCAACGTGTTAAAGAGACTTTAACTCTTACATCTGTAAATGGAAAGACAATGAATGCCCTGACAGTGTTCACAGCGTCTCTGCACTTCCTCAAATACGATGCTTTGAAAACCATTAACAACAATAGTAAAGATGTGGAGTTCAAGGCGTCCGACTTCACCTGGGTGCTGACGGTGCCGGCCATTTGGGACGATGCTGCCAAACAGTTCATGAGAGAAGCTGCCACACGGGTGAGTTCTATGGAGCTGCACATAAGAAACTCTCCATCCTCACTGTTGTTGTATTTCAGGCAGGGATTGTGTCCAAAGACAGCAAAAACAGACTGGTCATAGCCCTGGAGCCAGAGGCTGCCTCCATTTGGTGCAAGAAGCTCCCGGCTAATGGATTTCTCACTGACAATCACAGCAGAAAAGAGCATCTCCTGACCCCAGGGACTCAGTACATTGTAGTGGACTGCGGAGGTGAGCACAGGCAACACTGAACTATTGAAATGAAATACTTCCACTATGGGAAGAATCATGGTTCTGATACTGTTAGATACAATCATAGGTGTTAATGAAGCAAGCATCTCTACTTCATTAGGGGAGGGCAACAGGCTTTTAGTGGTGGAGGAGAAATCTTTAAATGCTGTTCCAGAGGGCGGACAGTGCATAACACTGAATGTTCACTTCACACATGCGCAGTCCGAGTAGTAATACCAAATGAATCACCTGTGACCCCTGATTGACGCCCGGAGCTAATATAGTCCAGCATCATCCATCACTTGGTTCCAGGACCAAACCAGAGTTGACAATGGGGGACACAGTGGTTGTGAACATATGCGTTCTCATTCTCCCGTGACTGTATACAACTGCGCACCTCTGTGAACACAAACTGATGTTAAATAAAGTCTCTATGTCTAGTGCGCGAAGTAGTAGTGCTGAAGTAGCAGGCGGACTACTTTTTGTGTAAAGTTCTTCTCCAATAATGCAGCTCTGCAGCGTCTCTGTGTTCAGAGACCTTCCAGAGACTTTTTATAACAGCAGTATGTGTTCATGGAGGTGCGCCATAAGTTTATTTTATTATCAAACAATACTTTCACGGCGAACACGCAGTTGTATACAATCACAGGAGTATGAGAACACATATGTTCACAAGCACTATGTCCAGGGCTGGACAGGGACCATTTATGCACTGGGGGTGGGATTTAAAAAGTATTTACTTCTTCCCACTCCCTTTCGAACTTTCTTGTTGTCATTTTTTTTTTTTTTTTTTTTGTATCTTGTATTAGTTTTGTTTTTTGCAATTTTGTATTGTTTTTTGCAATTTTGTATTGCTTCTCATATTTTGTATTTATTATTGTTTTTTTTTTTTCCTTGTTTTTTCGAATGAGAATAGAAGTACAGAGTGTACAAAGTTTATTTTTTTATGCATTATGAAATGACATGGCATTTGGATTGACAACAAAGTTCGAAATAAAAAGATTGATTGATTGATTTTTGCCTTCTTGATGGCCCAGGCGTGTTTTTTTTCACGCTGTTTTTACAGTTTGTTTATACAGTATGTGGAAGCAAATACTGTAGAGGATCAGGAATAGGATCAGTTTCAGCAATAAAATAAATTGCAATAGTCGACATTACAGGGGAGTAATAAACATGTCTCAGAGTGAGGGAGGTGGACACAGACAACACTATTGTCTGTTACAGGGATGAGAATTGGTCAAAAAAGTCTGAAATGCATAATGTCAGCCATTAGCTGGCTCTACATTTTTTTGATTTGTTCACAACATTTTACTTTTGGGCAAAACCATAATAAACTTTTAATGCAATGGAAAATGTAGGTACCCGAGCTTTAATTTAGGGAGTTTAGTCGCGCTTTGAAAGGAGAGGGGAGACACAGACTGTTTCCTGCAGCGGTGTATTTATTGGGTGCACAGATTACGCAAAGACAAGCACAAAAAAAGTAGAGAATGGTCCTGTGCGCGTTTATGGTCATGGGTACTTGGTCACGTTGCACGATGGAGCAACGTGACCATGTACCAGCCGCTTACAGCCGGTGGAGAGGCTGTGAGCGGGAACCGCTCGTTACAAAGTGGCCGCAGCTGCCCCGGAACACTGCGGCCGTTGAGGTGGCGGAATCCCTTTCGAGTACATACTGCAGGTGCCCCGCGGACACGCACGCCCCCTCGAACAATTCTCAACGGATTCACACTTTTCACAAACATGTTTTTTGTATGAGGCAGACAGGCCGGCCCAAATTTGGGCATCGGCCCTTCAGGCATTGCCCGGTACGCCCGATGTTCAGTCCAGCCCTGACTGAGTCCCCCATTGTCAACCATGGTTTGGTCCTGGTGTTGCTCCTTTTTTTGCTGTTTACGAGTATTTTCAGTCTGCTCGCTCAGATCGCTAATGTCCCTGTGACCACTCTCTGATTGTTTGCTGCACGAGCGTCCCAACGAAACGTTCAGCAATATTTATCTCCTGCGAGCGTCGATTTTCCGCTCCTGTGCCTCTGTCGCGCAGGCCTGTGACATTGACTTTGCATGATCCGGTCTGAACGCGGCATAAGTCCTTCCTCTGTCTCTCCTCCGTGAAGTATGTGGTCGGGATCCTTCATGACAGAGCTGGTATTAGGTCATTCAGTGCTATGCAGCCCCCTCTGGTGGTCAGGAGGGATTCATAGAACCATAGTTTCATACGTAACATATTTATCTGCAGGAGGGACAATAGACATCACGGCTCACGAGGTCCTGAAAAACGGGAGACTGAAGGAGCTACAGAAAGCCTCTGGGAACAACATGGGCGGACAGACGGTGGACCGGAACTTTTTAGCACTTCTCAAGGAAGTCTTTGGGGAGTGCATTTGGGATGAGTACAAGGAAAAGTTTCCCAACGAGGTTCAGGAGCTCCTGTACGATTTCAGAATAATGAAGCAAGTGGATCAGAGCGCTCAGTTTTCATGTCCATATAATCTGGGACAGTTGGAATCAAAGACAAAGGAGATGCAATTATTTTTCAACAATAACAAAAGTGTGTCGTGGAATCAAGGCAGAATCAAAATATCACAAGTAAAAATGAAGTCTTTCTTTGCCGAGAGTTTGAGAGGGATTACTGCTAGTCTGGAGGAGATCCACAATAAAACACCAAATGTTAAATATTTTCTGTTGGTCGGGGGCTACGCCTTAAGCCAAGTCCTCCGTGATCATATTGAGAACTATTTTGGGAATACAGTAAATGCAATGTGCTGTGCCCGCATCTTCCACAAGAGGTCGTAATGAAAGGAGCTGTACTGTTTGGTAAAGACAGAGCAGCTATAGAATCTCGAAAAAGTGCTTACACTTATGGCTATGATATCGTAGAGAAGTTTGATGCTTCCAAGCACAAGCAGGACAAGAAGTTCACAGATTCTGAGGGTGAGGAGTGGTGCAATAATTTGTTTAGAAGTATGGTGCAAATAGATGAAGGTGTGGGCTGGGATGAAACCAAACAGATTATGTTTAATCCAATAAGAAAAGATCAAAGAAAAATGGCAATAGCATTCTACCGCACAGAGAAAAAGACTGTCTCTTATGTGGATGAGGCAGAGCTGGTTGGTCGGTTTGAGGTTGAAATGCCTGATACTAAAGGAGGCACGAGTCGTCAGGTCAGAATGGATGTCATTTTTGGTGACACAGAAATAAGAGCAACAGCCACTGACCTGGTCTCAGAGACTGAAGCAAAAATCAATATTGACTTTATTTCAACGATTTGACTTTCAAGTCGTAGATTTCAAGGCGACAGTGGCTCAGTTTGTAGAGCATTGGCTTTTGGGCCTGAAGGTTGTGGGTTGAAGCCCACCACAAGACCTACTTCTTGACTCCTGTTCTTGTGTCCTTGGGCAAGACACTATCAAGATCTAGGCTCCTGTGGACTCACCACCTGCAGGAGGATCAGTGAGGGGCTGGTGCTCTGTGAACTGGGTGCAGCTCTGACTGAGACTTTAAGAACAACCAGATGTCTGGTGTTTTGTGAGCGCAGTACTTGATTTGGTTGGTATGACACTAACTTGTCTCAGAGATAGGAGGGTGCCATGCTATTTATGGCTTTGTATGTTAGAAGAAGAATTTTAAATGTGATTCTCAGTGTGACATTCCCCTCACACTGCAGGGCCTGTCGTTGCTGGTTTTCTGTATGTGATGTGGAGTAAATTTGATACTCACAGAGGTGGGAATCTGTATGTTTTTTCCTCCACAGATTCTGTTTCGAGTTTAATCATGTACAATATAATAATAAGTACTTTTATGTGAGAAAATTCAATGTCCTGACATCTGATACTAATATTTAATGTACATTGAACTCATAATAAATAAACACTCAACTCAACTCATTTGTGACTTAAGGAAGGACAGGACAGATGAAATCCACAGACATTTTATACAAATATTTTGCCTTGTCCCTCTCTCTCTGGTCTCTCTCTCTGGTCTCTCTCTCTGGTCTCTCTCTCTGGTCTCTCTCTCTGGTCTCTCTCTCTGGTCTCTCTCCCTGGTCTCTCTCTCTGGTCTCTCTCCCTGGTCTCTCTCTCTGGTCTCTCTCCCTGGTCTCTCTCTCTGGTCTCTCTCTCTGGTCTCTCTCCCTGGTCTCTCTCTCTGGTCTCTCTCTCTGGTCTTTCTCTGGTCTCTCTCTCTGGTCTCTCTCTGGTCTCTCTCCCTGGTCTCTCTCTCTGGTCTCTCTCTCTGGTCTCTCTCTGGTCTCTCTCTGGTCTCTCTCTCTGTCTCTCTCTCTGGTCTCTCTCCCTGGTCTCTCTCTCTGGTCTCTCTCTCTGGTCTCTCTCTCTGGTCTCTCTCTCTGGTCTCTCTCTCTGGTCTCTCTCCCTGGTCTCTCTCTCTGGTTCTCTCTCTGGTCTCTCTCTCTGGTCTCTCTCTCTGGTCTCTCTCCCTGGTCTCTCTCTCTGGTCTCTCTCTGGTCTCTCTCTGGTCTCTCTCTGGTCTCTCTCTGGTCTCTCTCTCTGGTCTCTCTCCTGGTCTCTCTCTCTGGTCTCTCTCTCTGGTCTCTCTCTGGTCTCTCTCTGGTCTCTCTCTCTGGTCTCTCTCTGGTCTCTCTCTGGTCTCTCTCTCTGGTCTCTCTCTCTGGTCTCTCTCCCTGGTCTCTCTCTCTGGTCTCTCTCCCTGGTCTCTCTCTCTGGTCTCTCTCTCTGGTCTCTCTCTGGTCTCTCTCTGGTCTCTCTCTCTGGTCTCTCTCTGGTCTCTCTCTCTGGTCTCTCTCTGGTCTCTCTCTGGTCTCTCTCTCTGGTCTCTCTCTCTGGTCTCTCTCTCTGGTCTATCTCTCTGGTCTCTCTCCCTGGTCTCTCTCCCTGGTCTCTCTCCCTGGTCTCTCTCCCTGGTCTCTCTCTCTGGTCTCTCTCTCTGGTCTCTCTCCGTGTTAACGAATTAGCTCTTGAGTCTCGATGGCAGTTAGGTCCTTCAAGGACACCACGTGGTACTTTGACCGCCACGACACCAACACAAGACTTATAGAAAGATAAGATTGTTCACTTTATCATCATAGTGATAACATTTATGAGACGAGCAACAGTAAACTCGAAACGGAAAGCATGAGTCAGATCATGAAGCCAATAGATCTGGTTCAGATCTGGTTCAGACCTGGTTAATCCTGGTTCAGACCTGGTTTAGACCTACAGAACACTACTTGGAGGATAGTGTTACAATGGGTAGATTTGACCCAGAATTTAAACTTTCAGGTTTTGGATTGAAATAGTAGTGAAGAAAATGAGAAATGTCTCAACTTGGTAACTCCGACTCCTTCAGAAATACATATATAGACATTGATTTAAAAATGAATACCCCAGTATCATTCATAATCTTAAAATCTACAATAATTCAAGATACAATTTTTAAATTCTTGCATGTATTCTGTATTGGGGAGATTTTTACAGGTTATTTTCACACTCTGGTCTGTCTCACTGGTCTCTCTCTATGGTCTCATTCTGGTCTCTCTCTGGTCTCATTCTGGTCTCTCTCTCTGCTCTCTCTCTCTCTCTGGCCTTTATCTGGTCTCTCCCTCGCTGTCTCCATAGCAACAGAAAGTGCATTGTTGTGATGCTCAGTTATTATGGTTCAAACACAGCATTGATCTGAATCTCAGTTTTAGTCTCAGTTTTAGTCTCAGACGATGGTTCCTGCTCACGTGGCTGCGGAGGACGCTTTAGAGTGGTTCTTCGACCACAACATCGCTGTGAGTCCAGCTCTGACTTAAAGATGGGATGGGTCACTTTAAAGTCTAGTCTGGGTTTAAGGTTGGTTAAGTTCAAAATTAATGTTTTTTGCAGAAACAATTCACAGACAAAGAGGAGAGCAGTGACCAAGAGGAGGAAGAGGAGAAAGAGGTGAAGGAGGAGGAGAAGGAGGAGGTGAAGGAAGAGGAGCAGAAGGAGGAGGTGAAGGAGGAGGAGAAGGAGGAGGTGAAGGAAGAGGAGCAGAAGGAGGTGAAGGAGGAGGCGCAAAAGGAGGAGGAGCAGAAGGAGGAGGAGAAGGAGGTGAAGGCTCCTGGGGAACAGCCGCATCCAGAAGCTTGCAAAAAAGGTACTGAACCGGGACTGAACCAGGTCCGAATCTGGACTCTAAAACACACTCACAAACTGCATTTTTATGAGGCTAAAGTCACGTCCTCAGCTTCAAATTCACGTCCTCAGCTTCAAATTCACGTCCTCAGCTTTAAAGTCACGTCTTCCAGCTTTAAACAGTACTGGTTGAGTCTGACAGGTCTCAAGTGAAACTCATTCTAAAAAGTACAAAAGTGTGACAAAAGGCCAAAACGTAGATTTGAAGCACATTTCCTATAATGGCTCTGTTTATTTGTGTAACGGACGTGATCCTTTGAGGGAATGAGCTGTGGAAGTTTGTTACATATTTTTGGATCCACATTTGGATAATACAGATTCTTTTGTTTTACACAGAGTACAAACAAAGTTATTCCTTTCATATAATATACCAATTAAATTTTGAAACCAGACGATCTTTTTTTACTTCAAGTTTACATTTTTATTGATTATTTTTCTAAAATGTCGTGTTAGCCATGTTAATCTTGTGGGAGTTCATCTGCCGCTTTGTCACAGATGAACCTTTGATTTTCTGTGTAACTGGCGTCACAATAGAATTATTCAGAGGCCGATCCAAAAATGTATTTTTCAATCTTTTCTTTTGATTTTGTCCACAGTTTCTCTTTAATTTGTCTGTGTTTGAAATCTTTTTTTCTAATCTATGATACTAATTTTAGTTTTTGAATTTAAACCTTTTAATTTAACACTTTACTGTGAACACACCCTAATCTTTCTATTTGATGATGTGTTGAAACCTGTCTCTCCAGAGGACTCCAGTTCCCAGAAAGCACCTGCAGAGCCGGAGCTGCAGATCAGGTGTGGTTTGAGGACACACTTTACTGGATGGCAGAAGTGTTACAACTGCTTCCATCCTGTGAAAGCACATGAGCTGATTGCTGATTGAGAGTCAAAAAATAGCAACAACATAACATTTTTATACTTACAAATCCAATACATAAAACATTTGCACTATTATTGCATACAAAGATAAGCCGTAGGTTCCTGACCTCTGTATTCAATCATAGAGAACTCAGTGATTAGAGCTCAGAGTAGAGCTGCTGCTCCTTTAACAGGTTGTTTTTGTGACAGAAACGTGATGTGTTCGTCCTCACTGAACTGTTCCCTCGACACCCAACTCATCGCACGAATGGGACGCAACGCAGAGTATGTTAGAAAGGTAAAACCAGGTCTGGACCAGGTCTGAGCCATCTGAGCCAGGTCTGAACTGAACCAGGTCTTTACCAGGTCTGGACCAGGTCTGGACCGGATCTGGACCAGGTCTGAACCAGGTCTGGACCAGGTCTGAACCAGGTCTGGATCAGGTCTGAACCAGGTCTGAACCAGGTCTTGTCAGTTCAAACAGGTCCGGATCAGGATCAGGTCTCCCAGAGCCACAGCGTTGATTTCCACAGATGGAAGAATGATGAGTTCTGGAGCCGATAGGTCAGTGCTTTATTCATAACAGAAGTGGTGCCACAAACTGTACTGTTGTCCTCTCTGCCCTCAGACATTTTGGCTCTGTTGTAACCTCTCCTCTCTCTCAGTGTGGGAGGGGCACACAGAGCAGCCCGGCGTCTCGCTCGTATCGTTCAGAAGTTGGGGTTTCCTGTCCGCTTCTCCAGCTTCAAGGTCCACAACTTCATGGTGATGTTCCACACCTTCCCCCTCAGCCTGGAGCGCCTCTATGTGGCTCTTTGGGGTCACTGCAGGTACTCTTTCTCTCTGGTCTCTCTCTCTCTCTGGTCTCTCTGCCTCTCTGATCTCTCTCTGGTCTCTCTCTGGTTTCTAGTCCTGATCGTCTCTTATTCCATTAAACGTGTTTGTGCAGTTATGAGCCGGAGCTGTTCACTGGACTCTTTTATTACTCAGGGAGGATCACAGCCTGTGTCCGCCACACCGGGGATGTGTCTCTGACAGGTAAGACCAGGACCAGGAAACAGAACCCGGACCCAGACTAAGACCAGGACCAGCTGTGTAAAAAGAGTGTATTGTGTGCACAGGCAGCAGTGAAGTGGCAGAGCTCACCGCAGTGTTCAGGAGGCTGTTCCCCACTTTGCTTCAGACCAGGTCCAGGTCCAGTGTATGACCAGACCTGGGCCAGATTAGACCCAGACCAGACCCAGACCAGGTACAGACGAGGACCAGACCAGGGCCAGACCAGTTACAGACCAGGATCCAGAGCTTCTTGGGAGATGACCTTAAATACAGACATCTTGTGTCTTCTCTTCTTGTCTTCTCAGTCTGTAATGAGGGGAACACAGTGGGCTGAAGCAAACTGTCAGTCTCTAGATGTGCCGAGTCTGGCAAGCAATCTGACACTACATGAATTACACAAATGACACTGAGGACAATATTTTCAGGATCACATTTATTGTGCTGTACAGAAATGTGGTTAGGATACGGCGCTTAGACTCCGGCAGAGCACTGCATGATTACAAAAGGGGAAAGAGATTGTGAGATGAAACCTCCAAAAAGAAGGTGCCGGGCTGTAGATCCAGGGCTACATGCGAGAACCACCACCAGGTACTGATGTGGTGTTGTCAGATACTATTAAGAACCCCCAAAGAAGAGGGGAGGGACGAGACAGTGCAGTATATCCCACATCACGGCCACTTAGCAAGGTGGGCCACCGGCGTGTAAGTGAGTGGGTTCTCTTTATTTATATAACACCTTCCACCGACAAGAGTCACAACCAGACAAGGTTCAGACGAGGACCAGACCGCCGTCGTAGCCATCATAGGCGTGGTCGTCGTCAACGCAGCAATTTTTACTGGCATTTAGCCACCGCCATGGGTACTGGAAGATAGTCTACCTCCCAGAAGTTTGAGTAGTCATCTACAGTCAACAGATACTCCTTGTCTTGAATAGATCAGTTCCCACTTTTGACCAGGGGGTGGTTGTGATCATGTGTGGTTGTCCCTCACCCTCCGAGAGGATTCGTTGAGTGATGTCCATCCGGAGTGAGTCTGGTATTACACCTTTTTCTCTGTACCTTCTCTGGGTCTATTTTGAGTCCTTCTGCGGTGAGCAAATGTCCAATATATGAGACCTCCTCTTTTCTGTGTTTGATGAATGGATGGATAGCTTTATTACAGACTTGTAGTCCAGAACAAAAGATAGACAAGATATAACACACTAACAGACAAAATAACAGAATAAAAATCCCCAAATCACTTTGTAGGAGGCAGCCTTACCAGTGTTTCCACAGTGCAGAGGTATAACAAACATCACTGCTCTGTTCATCAACAATAAAATCATAACACTCACACTAAAGTTCAGGCGACTCATAAACTTGTACATTTTGTCCCTTAATTCGGCCTGCAGTGTGTTCACTTGAGAGGAAACAAACAGTTCAGAAGCGCTGCTCCATTAGGGCCTTTTTAGCAACAGTCTGAAGGCATCATTGTAGACCACTTTCAGTCTCTGTAGGCTGGATTTTATATAGTTCACCCACAGATGAGCGGTGTAAAGTGAGGTGCAGTATGCCTCAAACAAAGCCACTTTTACTCCATTACAACAGGATCCAAATTTCCACTACAGAACATTAGCCTGGGGCGTACAGCATACAGCACTGTCGATACATATCCTCATTGTCTGACAGGCGATCTGTCAGGATATGACCAAGATATTTCAAAGTGTTTTCAGTTTTTATGATATTTCCAGAAAGCTTAAAATCTGGAAACACCAGTTCACGTGCCAGAAACCATACTTCATCTCGCACTCTGTAAATACTTTTGCTTTTGCCAGGTCTGGCAGAACATCATCGATTGTCGGGAGTGGAAAGTGACCCCTCTTTAAAGCTTTGTTGAGTGGTCTCGAGTCAATTCATATTCTGGGTCTGCCCTGCTGTCTAGTGCGTAAATGTCTTTGTATTGCACTTCAATGAGTTTCAATGACTCACTTGCTGTACGTCCGAATAATGTAGTTTTAAATTCTTCTCCCACAATTTTAAATTCAACTGTATTTCTTTTGATTACTCGGATTGGTAATCTTTACCTTGCATTTGCCTGATGGAAATAATTTTACCTCATTGTACATTACTAACACCTTGTCAGTGTATTTTTGAATCAGAATCAGAATATTTTTTATTGCCATGTAAGTAACAGGAAGTCACAGACTAGGATATTGCTTTGGAGAGTCCATCAGGGAGGTTGGGGGCGGGAAGACTGTGCTCTTCCTGAAGTCCACAATCATCTCCACTGTCTTCTGGGAAATAAGCTCCAGGTTGTTACCACTGCACCAGGACACCAGCCGGTCCACCTCCCTCCTGTAGGCGGACTCATCGTTGTTGGAGATGAGTCCAATGAGGGTGGTGTCGTCCCCGAAAACTTGATTAGCTTAACAGAGTCGTGGTGTACAGGTGTACAGGGAGAAGAGCCGGGGAGAAAGCCCACAGCCTTGTGGGGCTCGTGTATTACTGTGACACAGATATGACTTAATGAAACAAAGTGTTTATTAAAGTGGGATGTTTTTATTTTTTGTATGAAAAACACACACGTACACACACACACAGAGACAGACACACACACACACACAGAGACAGACACACACGTACACACACACACAGAGACAGACACACACGTACACACACACACAGAGACAGACACACACGTACACACACACACAGAGACAGACGAGTACAGCAGCGGATCAGAAAGCTACTGTCAAAGCGATGATGCAGTCTCTGAACTACATCATGGATCTATAATAATATAGTATCAGCACTAGTGTTAGAGACATCAGTATCAGCACTAGTGTTAGAGACATCAGTATCAGCACTAGTGTTAGACATCAGTATCAGCACTAGTGTTAGAGACATCAGTATCAGCACTAGTGTTAGACATCAGTATCAGCACTAGTGTTAGAGACATCAGTATCAGCACTAGTGTTAGACATCAGTATCAGCACTAGTGTTAGAGACATCAGTATCAGCACTAGTGTTAGACATCAGTATCAGCACTAGTGTTAGAGACATCAGTATCAGCACTAGTGTTAGAGACATCAGTATCAGCACTAGTGTTAGACATCAGTATCAGCACTAGTGTTAGACATCAGTATCAGCACTAGTGTTAGAGACATCAGTATCAGCACTAGTGTTAGACATCAGTATCAGCACTAGTGTTAGACATCAGTATCAGCACTAGTGTTAGAGACATCAGTATCAGCACTAGTGTTAGACATCAGTATCAGCACTAGTGTTAGAGACATCAGTATCAGCACTAGTGTTAGAGACATCAGTATCAGCACTAGTGTTAGACATCAGTATCAGCACTAGTGTTAGAGACATCAGTATCAGCACTAGTGTTAGACATCAGTATCAGCACTAGTGTTAGACATCAGTATCAGCACTAGTGTTAGACATCAGTATCAGCACTAGTGTTAGAGACCTCTGAGGATACGTTCATCTAAAATGAATGGACTCAGAGTAACCTGGACCAGACATCCTCTGTGTCAGCACTTTCTCTGTTGTGACGTAGCTCGGGCTGCAGCTGCTGCTCCACTTCCGAACGGGTCGCAGTGTCCCCAGCTTCATCATCATCACCACAAATAGAACTCGCAGCTAGAGCTTTACACCTGTGCATCTGAGACCAGGTCTAGACCAGGTCTGGACCAGGACTGGACCAGGTCCGAACCAGGTCTGGACCAGGTCTGCACTGTTGTAAAACTAATTGGATGCAGCGAACTGTTTGTTACAGAGCCATGGTTGCCTGGAATACTCTAGTGACTTTGTGTTATTAGAGAACAGCAAAATGTTAAAGGTGTTTTTGTTTACACAAGAATGAATTTTGGTTAATACGCAAACTATGTGAGAGTTGCATTGTTCGGTTGAGATTCTGCTTAATACGAAACAACAAATGTGATTATTATAAATGTTTTAGTTTTGTTTAAGGAATGCATTGTTGGTTTAACTTTGACAGTTGGAGATGGTGATAATAATAATGATGAAAATGTTATTATTGCTGCTTTATGTTTTATTTGGTTTCAGATGAAACCCCTACAGTTTGTCCTGTGAGTGTGTGTGAGTGTGTGTGTCTTTGTGTGTCGTTGTTTTGTTTGTTTGTTTTTGTCATGTATTATTGTAAACATTTGTATTGAAAATGAAGGAGACCTCGGGTAGAATAGCTCCTACAATAAGTCAAGAGCTAAATGAAGTGAAATGAACCAGGACTGGTCTCTGTGACCTCACAGATGTGCTCAGCTGGAGTCTCTTTAAACAACCTTAATCGTGTTAATTCAGATTATTTCACACAAAGACGCAGGGCTCGGAGTGAAACTGAAGTGATACAACACAGTGAGTCACTATCTGCCTCTTTGGGCTGAGAGCTGATTGGCTGAGGGAGGGTGGTCCTCTCTGTTTCACCTGATAAAGCTGATCTAAAGATGACAGAGGCCAGAAATGCATGCAAAAACTAGACCAAGATCAAGACCAAGACCAGGACCAGGAGCATGCACATGAAAAAGAAATAAGCAACTGTTATAGAGCTCTATCTAAAGGTTACAGACCTTAGCTTTAAATGTTGTTTGTTTAATGTGCAGTGAAAGAGTTAAAACCAGGAGGAGGAGACACTTTCACTTCAGCTGTGTTTGGATCTAGGACTGGGAGGTCCAGACCAGGACTGGACCAGGACTGGATCAGGTCAGGGGACCGACGGAAAGAAGTCCGAACTTGGATTCATGTGAGTTTAAACTTTTTTATGACTAAAGCTTTTGACATTTTAGTAAAAACCAGTTCAATCTGAGAGACTGGAACAGACAAAACATGAGATCAGTAGAATTGTATATTAGTAGAATTGTATATTAGTAGAATTGTATATCATCAGTAGAATTGTATATTAGTAGAATTGTATATTAGTAGAATTGTATATCATCAGTAGAATTGTATATTGTTGGCAGCAATCTGACACTACATAATATACACATGTGACTCCGAGAACAATATTTTCAAGATTGCATTTATTGCTGCTGTACAAAAATGTGGTTAAGATTTGCGGCCATTATGAAAAAAGTCAGCAGGAGGGAGAAGTGATGTCATATAAGTTTCACGGGCGGAGATAGGCGTCACTACGTCCGTTAATATTTACAGTCTCTGGTTGTGGCGTAAAAGAAGCTTGGTCAGTGTGGCGCCACAGCTGAGTGTGATTGACAGATGCTGTTGCCGCTAGCGACAGTGGGAGAACACTGTGAGCTTAGTTCTTCTGTCTTCCAATCCGAATTTCAGCTTTAGCTTCATTTTAGACCTGGTTCAGTCCTGGTTTAGACCCAATTTAGACCTGGTTAGACCCAGTTTTTACCCAGTCTATAGATGGTTTTCCATCACATGCTCATTACCCATAAAGCTTTGCACGAACGCCATGTTGCTTGTCTGGCTTATATTGCACGGATCATTTGTCCCCATGTCATCTAAAGCCACAAATTCCGCCAACACTGACCACGTTAAGTTTATTGATACACTGGTGTAATCTGTGAGACAAGACCCTTGGAGAAATTGAGAGTGATCAGAGATTTGGATCTATGTGAAATGCGGCGAGACCAGTAGACTTTGTCAGAAATGGCTTACTTTCACTTAACAGTTTTACAATTAAAAAGAGGTCATGATGTATATGATGCAATATTTCTTTCAATCAATAATTTATTTTGAACGAAGCAGTTGATATCACAGGCTGTAAATCACTTCCGTCTACCACCCTTACCCTACTCCTCCTTCCCCTCTCATTCATTTAGAGGGGATCACTCGAGGCCCATATATAATATGGTATCACAGTCGAATCGCAGCTCTGAATATAAACCACACATGCACAGATTTAGCTCTTACCTGTTATGAAATGGTCAGAACAGACCTTATAGTGCCGTTTTTTAGGGGGTTAGGGTTGAATCAATAATTTTAATGCTCAATTTAACACAAATGCACAACTAGATATTTCTATAAACTAGTGCAGCTCAAGGTCCCGAGTTTTAAAATAGATTTATTCTGCAAATAAAGACCAGAGAGAGACCAGGAAGACCCCAGAGAGACACCAGAGAGAGACCAGAGAGAAACCAGAGAGAAACCCGAGAGACCAGAGAGAGACCAGAGAGAGACTAGAGAGAAACTAGAGAGAGACCAGAGAGAGACCAGAGAGAGACCAGAGAGAGACCAGAGAGAGACCAGAGAGAGACCAGAGAGAGAGACCAGAGAGAGACCAGAGAGAGACCAGAGAGAGACCAGAGAGAGACCAGAGAGAGAGAGACCAGAGAGAGAGACCAGAGAGAGACCAGAGAGAGACCAGAGAGAGACCAGAGAGAGAGAGACCAGAGAGAGACCAGAGAGAGAGAGACCAGAGAGAGACCAGAGAGAGAGACCAGAGAGAGACCAGAGAGAGACCAGAGAGAGACCAGAGAGAGACCAGAGAGAGACCAGAGAGAGACCAGAGAGAGACCAGAGAGAGACCAGAGAGAGAGACCAGAGAGAGACCAGAGAGAGACCAGAGAGAGGTCCGAGATACCAGAGTTGTTTTTTCTATTTTGGGCTTAAATCTGTGGTTGTTGCTGTCTGTGATCCCGCTGTTTATTTGTGATATTGTCTTGTCTCCAGATATGAGCCATAATATCTGGATTTACAATTTCAGATATTATGGCAATTAAAGGCCTTCAAGACGGAGGTTGTGAGGGTTAAACACAAAAACTGTTCTTGTAACTGTGACGCTGTGTTTCCTCAGGTGCCTCTGTGATTGGCCTGTCCCTCCTTTGACTCCACCCCCCTCTCTCTCCGTCCTCTCTGATTGGCTGAGCGGTTGCCATGGCGCACCTGTTCTTGGCAAGTAAGCTTTCTCTTCCGGACAACGGAAAAGCCCGGATGCCCCGCAGCGCGTCGGCCCGTTTCCCGAACGACTGGCCGACCAATCACAGCAAGCAACGCCCCGTTGCCATGATGACACGCTCCAGCTCACGCTCCGCAGATATAAGGCTCTCAGCGGCCACCGGGGGCAGCGAGGCGTCCTGCTGGAGGTTGACATTTACACCTGTGTTACAGACCTCACATTATGCCTCGTTCAGACCTCACATTACACCTGTGTTACAGACCTCACAATGGCCCTCAATTATGAAAGTTGCGCAGAAAAGGGGTCACAGCATAGCGATAGCGGTCACAGCATAGCGATAGCGGTCACAGCTTAGCGATAGCGGTCATAGCTTAGCGATAGCGGTCACAGCTTAGCGATAGCGGTCACAGCTTAGCGATAGCGGTCACAGAATAGAGTAGTCACGACGTCTGTCCCCTCCAAACCAGGCTTCAAAAATCTCCATCAACACGCAGCCTTTTTGGGGATTGTGCGCGCTCATCGCAGGAGCCTTTACGATCCGAAGGCCGCACCGGGACCTAGGGCGCCAAACCTCCTTTCATAAAATATCAACTTCCTGTTTCTCGTCTCTCCAAATTGAAATGCAGCCAGCGAAAGTTCAATTTGGTAGACGTTAACCAAATTTACCCCTCCAGGCCGGCTCTCATCCCCAGCCTATCACCCAGCAGACGCCCCCTTCCAATCATCTGTACCGACTCGCAGCCGCATAAAAACGGAGCAACGCCCACTACCGGCCTCCTGAAGCCTCGCAACCACCGCCTCCCCTCCTCCTCCTCTTCACCCTGCCTCCAATCTGCCTTCAATTTTCTTCCCGCTGCCAAATGCCGCCACCAGTGCCTAGGTCCCGGGGGATTGTGCGCGCTCATCGCAGGAGCCTTTACGATCCGAAGGCCGCACCGGGACCTAGGGCGCCAAACCTCCTTTCATAAAATATCAACTTCCTGTTTCTCGTCTCTCCAAATTGAAATGAAAGTTGCGCAGAAAAGGGTGTATATTTTGGGTGTGTTTTCCAAATACGCACGAGCCAACGCCGGATTTATGAATGTGCGAGATACGCACAGATCTGAGCGTACGCACAGCGGCTGTTGATTAATGCCGCGGCTGAAAACGAACGTATTTATGAAAGTCACGCCTAGAAATATGCACCAACACTCCCCGTTTTTACAAAAATTGAGAGGAAACTGCACCAAAAAAAAACTTCACGGAGAAGAAGGTTGAGACCATTATGAACAAAGTGGGGAAAAAATAAAGTCTTACTGTTTGGAAGCCTCAAAAGTGGCATCAAGGGGCTCAAAAAAGAAAATATGGAAAGAGATGATAACATCTGTAAACAACGTGGGGCCTAACACGCACTCCTGAAGAGGTGAGTTTATTCATGTTTGAAGAAATAAGTGCAATATTATGTCAAACAGTTGATATATTGGGCCAATAGTTAGAATTTATTAATTTATGCCACAGGTGAAAAAGAAAATGGAGCAACCTTAAAATAATAAACAAAAAGGCGTTTTGCTGCTCAATGACGTGCTCCGCAGCCCAGGGGGAGAACCGCCAGACCAAAGCATCCAAAAGAAAATACTAAGATACAAAATTATCTTCAAACTATGTTCATTTACACCTGGATTTGGCCGTACTCAAGTTTCATAAATGAGGGCCATTACATCTGTGTTACAGACCTCACATTACACCTGTGTACAGACCTCACATTACACCTGTGTTACACCTGTGTTGCAGGTGCCTCTTGCCGTTCGGATCTGTGATGTTTGTGGGCGGGACCATGCTGACTGCTCTGGGCTTCTGGGCAATGGATCCCGGGGCACTAGGACCGCCTCGGATGGGTCTCCTGGGGCTGACTATACTAGTTATCGCCACACTTCTGTTAGCCACCAGCGCCACCTGCTGGAGACTGTCGCTGCGCAAGAGCAAGAGAGACAAGAGGAGAGAGAGCCAGGCTGTCCTGGTGCAGTCTGTGTCATAATAACCCCAACCTCTCTGATCTATCTATCTCTGGTCTATCTCCGGTCTTTCTCTGGTCTCTCTCTCTGGTTTCTCTCTGGTCTCTCTCTGGTCTCTCTCTGGTCTCTCTCTGGTCTCTCTTTCCACACTACACTCTCAAACTCAGTACACAGTGATGAGGCCTCAGACTGTGACAAAGAAAGAGCCCTTGGTCCTGGACCTGGACCTGGTCTTGGTCCTGGTCTTGTTCCTGGTCTTGGTCCTTGTCTAGTTTTCACATCATGTATGTTTGGTCTTTGTCACATGTTTGGATCAGATTTTTCTGACAGAAAAGTGCTCTCAGCCCAAAGAGGCAGATAGTGACTCACAGTAAATATCAAGCTTTAAACATGTGTTATTTATGAGACTAAACTTACAGACCCCAGCTTTAAACTGCAGTTGTTTAAAACTGTGACTGGCTTAATCTCTGCTGCAGAATGTTCCACAGATTATGAAACATTAGATTATTTTTTACCAAATAACATTAGTACCAAAAGGGAGGGGGCTGTGGGTCATATTAAAGCTGGGGTACGTAACTTTTAGACAGAGATACATGATGTGAAAACTAGACCAGGACCAGGACCAAGACCAGGTCCAGGATCAGAACCAAGACCAGCACCTGGACCAGAACCAAGATCAGAACCTAGACCAGAACCAAGACCAGAACCAAGACCAGAACCAGGACTGTTTGGATCATGGATCTAGAGACATGGATTTTCGTTTTGTTCTGGTCTAAAAGTTTGGTACCTCATCCTTGTGTCAGGGTATGGAGACTTATGAGCCCATCACAAAGACCAGAAGAGACAGGTCTTCAGGACCATGTACATAATGTGGAGAGAGTCTCACCGGTCTGAGACCAGAACAGCGCCTTCCCTTTAATATGAACCTAGACCTGGACCTCAGCCAGGGGAGACCCAGACCCAGACCCAGACCTGGACCTCAGCAGAAGGAGACGCAGACCCAGACCTGGACCTGGACCAAAGCTGCAGAGTCCAGACCTGGTCTACATGTGTTTGTGACTAGGATAGAGGTGTGTACTTAGGCACATCTATAGCACCCCTGATCAATGATCAAGTTAACAATCAGCAGATATTTTGGGGCACACATATGGCCCCTTTTGTGCTGCTCAGTGAGTTTCAAACACTGTCCTTTTTCAGATTAAACCGTTCAGAATAAAGTTTTTCCTTAAGTCTATATCATAAATAAACATAACAGAACACATTATCTTTATAGCTGGGGTTGTGTGTGCATGTGTGTGTATGTGTGTGTGTGTGTCTGTATGTGTGTACGTGTGTGTCTGTGTGTTTTATGTGTGTGTGTGTCTGTTTGTATGTGTGTGTCTGTATGTTTGTGTGTGTGTGTGTGTCTGTATGTGTGTACGTGTGTGTCTGTGTGTTTTATGTGTGTGTGTGTCTGTTTGTATGTGTGTGTCTGTATGTTTGTGTGTGTGTGTGTGTGTGTGTGTGTGTGTGTGTGTGTGTGTGTGTGTGTGTGTGTGTGTGTGTGTCTGTATGTGTGTGTGTGTCTGTATGTGTGTAATCCTCTATCAGCTGATGAGTCCAGATGTCGTTGGTCTCAGTCTGAATCGTCTTTTGCTGCGGCTCTTTGTGGTGAGTCTCTATATGTTTTTATTCTTTTCTTTATATTCAACTGTGGGGCCAGAAATACATGCCCAACTAGACCAGGAACAGAGCAGGACCAGGACCAGACCACGACAGGACCAGACTAAGCGTGCGAAAACTAGTGATAGAAGCAGTTGTTTTAGAGCCAGGAACTAGAGACATGAGTTTAATGCAGAGTTCTGTTGAGGTCTAGAAAGTTACAGACCTCAGCTTTAATTAGAGGTCTGTGATACTGCTGGTCTAAATCTGGACTAAAGCAGGTCTAAAACAGGACTGAAGCAGGACTAAAGCAGGACAACAGCACGACTAAAGCAGGTTCTTTGGTGTGAGCTTGAGCTATTGTTTGCATGTTCTCCCCGCGCAGATGTCTCAGGATGGGGTTTATGGAGCTGTACCTAGAGATCGACCCTGTCACCCTGAACCTCATCATCCTCGTTGCCTCCTACGTGATCCTGCTGCTGGTCTTCCTCATCTCCTGCATCCTCTACGACTGCCGTGGCAAAGACCCCACTAAAGAGTACACTCAGGAGGCCCCCATCACCGCTGAAGCCCCCCCACAGAGCCCCATCCACCTGCTGGTCATGCAGAACTCTCCCGCAGGACAGAGGGAGATCACACCAGGACAGAGGGAGACAGGACTGAGGGAGACCGCCACAGGACCGAGGGAGACCGGGGGAGAGACTGGAGACAAGAGGAGTACTCTGGTCTGAGAGCAACAGGCTGAGATTATAGTTAGTTTTACTGTATTGTCCTTATATGAAACTTTGTCCTCTGCATTTGACCCATCCACAGTGGGAACCCAGCTCAGAGGATTTTGCACACGTTTTTAGTGGTAGGGGAAACCGGAGCACCCAGAGGAAACCTACACGGACCTCATGCAGGAGAACATGCAAACTCCAATCACAGAGGCCCAGCTGTTCCGACCAAGATTTGATCCAAGAACCGTCTTGCTGAGAGGCGAGAGTGCTAACCACTCAGCCACCATGTCATCCACCATGTTGACTAAATCAGGACAGAAGCAGGATTGGTCCAGGCCTGGTCTAGGACTTGTCCAGGACTGGTTCAAGTTTGGTCTAGTACTTGTCCAGGACTTGTCCAAGACTTGTCCAGGACTAGTCCATGACAGGTCCAAGTCTGGACCAGGACTGGTCTAGAACGGGACCAGGATTGGTCTAGAACGGGACCAGGAAAGGTCCAAAACTGGTCTAGACCGCCGGCTCCTTGCTGATGGGAGGAAACAGGTATTTCAGAAAAAGTTGTGTATTCACTTCTGTCTCGTTCGACGCTGATGTAGAACACAGAAACCTCCATCTTCCACCCGTCGCCGTGGCAACACTGGGGGTTAGACGTTGTTGCCATGGCGATTCATTTACACCTCATCTCTGGGTCAGGGGTCAAGGCTTGCTTCAGACCATAATAATCCGGATAAATCTCCACGGTAACGGATCAGAGCACCACATGTTACAGCTGTGATCACAGATCAAAGACATCTGCTGAGAATCAGGCCGGAGCCACAGCCGCCCTGAGGCAGAGAGGAGTAATTTCTCAAGACTATGGTCTGTTCTGGTCTGTTTCTGGTCTCTCTCTAGTCTCTCTCTGGTCTCTCTCTGATCCCTCTCTGATCTCTTTCTGGTCTCCCTCTGGTCTCTCTCTGGTCTCTCTCTGGTCTCTCTCTGGTCACTCTCTCTAGTCTCTCTCTGGTCTCTCTCTGATCTCTTTCTGGTCCCCCTCTGGTCACTCTCTGGTCCTTCTCTGGTCTCTCTATCTGGTCTCTCTCTTTGGTCTCTCTCTGGTCTCTCTCTGATCCCTCTCTGGTCTCTCTCTGATCCCTCTCTGATCTCTTTCTGGTCTCCCTCTGGTCTCTCTCTGGTCTCTCTCTGGTCACTCTCTCTAGTCTCTCTCTGGTCCCTCTCTGATCTCTTTCTGGTCCCCCTCTGGTCACTCTCTGGTCCTTCTCTGGTCTCTCTATCTGGTCTCTCTCTTTGGTCTCTCTCTGGTCTCTCTGGTCGCTTTTATTCTCTGATTGGATCAGTGACTGTATGACATAATAAGCCAAAACGTCATCCGTGGTTTTAATCCTGTCATTACTTCAGCTGTAAGTAACACAAGACTAAAGCTGCAAACAGCAACGAAGGCTGGAGAGAGACCAGAGAGTGAGACCAGAGAGACCAGAGAGATAATTTAACTCTAAGCTAAGACTAAGACACCACAATTGCTGTTTGGAAGGTGTGATGTCACATGATTGTAAATTATCTGTTTAAAATGTTTTTCAAATACAAACAAATGTAATTCTAACCTGGTTATTGTTTGTTGCAGATGTGGACTCCAGCTCCCAGAATGCTTTGTGCACTGCTCTAAGGACTCCTCTGAACAAAGGATTTACAGATACTTTTGAAAGTGAGTCCTGGAGACACAGGCAGAACATGCAAACCAAAACTTCTGTCGAAAGGCTCTGTTTTCAAACTCTTTATGCTGTGATGTCATTAACTTTTTCTGCCTTTAAAAAAAATGTGTATCATGTGTTCATGTAAGACCTACAGAGCCCAGCTTTAAACATGTGTTATTCATGAGACTAAAGTTACAGACCCCAGCTTTAGTCTCAGAGTTTTGTGAGTTGTTTGCAGTAGTTTTGGATTAAAGCTGCGGCCTCTAAAGTCTGGTGTGTGTTAATCTCTCGGTGGCATTTACTGATTGAACAAAAATAATCCACGTTTGGCCTTTTGTGCGTCAGAGCATCCTGCGCTCTGATTGGACGATCCCAATCCTCTTAAATGAATATGTAATAGTTTATTTTTCCAGATAAGAGATTATTCCAAAGGTTTGGGCCAAAGGGACGTCAGCATAGAGTCTCCCAGACCTGGTCCTAGACCTGGTTCAGACCTGGCCCGAGACCAGGCGCTAGTCTAGCTCTCAGTCTGCAGCACAGGCCTATGCCACAGGGGGGAGTCATCACACTGCAGGAGGCTTGTTTATAGTTTGGGGGCAGAGCGCCTCCCTGTGGTGGAAGTGAGTATTACTGTGATCTTTACTGTGTGTGTGTGTGTGTGTGTGTGTACACATGGTATCACAGTTAATATAACAGTACACACTCTGGTCCAACAATAAGGAGATGCTCTGAGGGGAGCTCAGGATAGATCCAGTCCCCTAAACTGCGCAGCCTCTCCTCTCTCTCTCCCCCATCCTCAGGATAGGAGCTCAGTGTAGATCCCCTGCTCTCTCCTCAGCCCCTCTTTAGGACAAGAGCTCTATGTAGATCCCCTGCTCCCCAGTGTTTATATATTTCAGATTAAAGAAAAAAAAAAACAGAGGTCTGGTGTCGTGTGACAGCAGAATAGGATATTTTATTGTTTTACAAAGTCAGTTTTGCTGCATGTGAGGAAGGTCCTGCTCTCATCTGCGACGATGTCAGTGGCTTCGAGTAGCAGTACTATTTGTAGTAGTAGCAATAGCAGTAGTAGCAGTACTATTTGTAGTAGTAGCAGTAGGGTAGTAGTAGCAGTAGCAGCAGTAGCAGTAGCAGCCAAGGTAAAGGTGTACTTATCCTCTGCATTTGACCCAGATCTTGATACTACTCGGCATCTGTCAGGAGCGGTGGTCGCCTAGTAACAGGACACATCTACATATTATGATGATGCTCAACTTGGTCAGGGCTGGAGCTGGAGGATTTTACGTAGTGTGCAGGTTTTTAGTGGCCGAGGAAACCAGCGCATGGGAGAACATGCAACCCCACTCAGAAAGACCCTGTTCTGACCAGCATTTGAACCCAAGACCATCTTGCTGAGAAGCGAGAGTGCTAATCACTCAGTAACAGCAGCAGTAGTACTAATAGTAGTAGTAGCAGTTGCAGCAGTAGGAGTAGCAGTAGTAGCAATAGTACTTTTACATCTCAGTCTCCACAGAGTTTCTCTCTTTTGTGGCAGTAGAAGCAACAGTAGTAGTAGTAGTAGTAGCAGCAGTAGTGTCAGTTGTCTCTGTTGCAACTGTTGAAGTTTTCTGTTCAGAATCAGTAAGTGTCCAGGAAGTACTCTGGGTCACGTGACTGCAACAGGAAGAGACATGTGATCAGGATCAGGGCTGGGGCATAAATCTATATCAACATTTGGATAGGGTATTACTAGCTTATAGCTGTCCCACCCATGGGCACATGGGCACATAGACTGCAGTGGCACTGCAGTCTAAATTCACTTGGGCCACCCAGAAAAAAGTTCCATAGAACTCAATGTAAACTAAAACAGCTCGACCTCAGCTGACAGAGAACCTACAGCTTTCAGAAAGGTCACATTAAGTGTCCCTTGTCAGACTGAACTTTTTTTTTTGTCTTAAATCCTTCTATGAATCCACTCGTCTCCTGTTCTAGTTCCCCTCTGATCAGCAGCCCTGATTGGTCGGAGCCGGGCTGAGCCCCACATGCACGCATGAGAGCAACACATGCGTGTTTGCCGTTAGCATCTTGAGAGCTCGTCCACTGCACAGAAACAGGTGGACCAGAAGACGCCCAAATATGGGCGAGCTCCGCTAATCTTTCAGTCCCCATGTCTGCCTCATGCGCTACTGAGCACAAGCCATTGATTTGAACAAGACGCCATCTTGGATCACCGGGGCTTGGGGCAGGGGCCAGATAAGAACACACACACTTACTTGATGTAGTAGGTCAGGCCCTGGTCAGTGAAGGCCTGGTCCCAGCCGTACGGCAGTGCTGCACCAGGAGGTCACCCGGGATCAAAGGTCAGGGTCAGCATGATGTCATCACAAATATATTTATTGCATTTGAACATGACGTGTTCATTAGGGCAGGAGGGAGGGGGGCAAAGAGGAGCCCTGGACCCAGAACCACCCATCTATGTGTTTTTATTATTGTATTTACTGTGTTAGAACTGATCGATTCTCTAATCTGTGTTGGAGAATCCACAACTTTCTAAAGTCCCCAGAGAAATACTATTGTGATTTAGGGCCAAACAAGATTCAATCAATTCAACTTTATAACAATAATTGAATTTAATTCAATTGAATGGAATAAAATGGAAAGGAATGGAGCGGTGGTGAAGGACGCTGAGCTGATAACATAACTATACTCCACTGAAGAGGCGGTCACTGGGAGGAGGTGGGTTGCTGCTTGAACATGAGCTTGAAGCTGTCTAAGAGGCTCTGTTCAAAGGCAGCTGATGTGATGAGCTCAGACGCACAGGTCACTGTCACCAGTTTCACATCTTAAGATCAAAGAGAGGAGCACCCTCACTCAACCAATCAGCTCTCAGCCCAAAGAGGCAGATACTGACACGTCATTTATAGATGTGACTAAAGTTACAAACCCAAGCTTCCAGAAAGGAGAGAGAGGAGAGAGGAGAGGAGAGGAGAGAGAGAAGAGAAGAGAGGAGAGGAGAAAGAGAAGAGAGGAGAGGAGAAAGAGGAGAGAGGAGAGGAGAAAGAGGCGAACGAGGAATTTTCTGCTGTGGACTTTTGAGACACGAGGACTGAAGGAAGTGAAGTCGAGCTGAATACTCTACAAACTCAAACACTGACAGACATGAGGATTGTTCATATTTATCTCTGGTCTCTCTCTGGTCTCTCTCTGGTCTCTCTCTGGTCTCTCTCTGGTCTCTCTCTGGTCTCTCTCTGGTCTCTCTCTGGTCTCTCTCTGGTCTCTCTCTGGTCTCTCTGGTCTCTGAAGGGGCAGGCATCTCAGATGGTTGGTGCTGGAAGGACACATTGAGGTTAGACACATGCAGGACATGAGACACACACAGACAGATGCTCCCCTCCCACAGGTATGTGTGTGTGTATCACGCTGTGTGTGTATTTGTCTGTGTGTGTGTCAGAGTGGGCCTGTTTGTGTGTGTGTCAGAGTGTGTGTGTAAGTGTGTCAGAGTGTGTTTGTGTGTGAGTATGACAGGTGTTGCTGATCCTCAGTACTCACAGTCAGACTGTAGAAGAGTACACAGACTTCTGCTCAGCTCCTGCGCCTCCAAACGCAACGCTGCACTGAACGCACTCTTTTTCTTCTGCCGCGGAGAGAGAGAGGCGCCCCCTGGAGGGAGGTCTGCAGTGCTACATACACATACGGACAGACACACAGACAGACACACACACACAGAAGCATGTATGAAAGCCTGATCCCTCAGAACCCCAGAAGCTAAGTAGGGAAGGTCTGATCAGTCCTGTGATGGGAGACCTGAGGGGAGCAGCTGTTTAGGCGCAAACTGTGGTTGTGTCTGTAGTGGTTTACTTTGATTGTCAATAAGAACTTTCACAGGAGCCGAGAATAAAATTCATATAATGCGTTTATTAACTCGATTAACAATACATGGGAGACCCGTCAATCATGCATGGAGCCCTGCGCAGAAGAAGCTCCCCGTCACTCCTTGCTTTCCTTTTTAACTGCTCCTGTCAATACCAAATATGGAATCCTGGCATGGAATCTTAGCTGCGACCGAATAACAGGATCCAGATGTTTCCTTTATGACTATTACCAAACAGAATTCTTTACCGGTCAACAGACAGTGTTCAGGTCAGGCCGACCCAGCGCTTCCTAAACATATCCCAAAAGAACATTCCATTGCACTTAGGAAATCATAATATTTGTCAAACATTCTACCACATATTTCCCCCCCTTTCATGGCTCCCAGCCATGAATTAAGTTCCTTCACTAACTTTTCCTCAGCCTTAGCAAAGTAGTTACATGAGTTACACAATAATGTCAAACACTTAGTAGATGAGAGTAAATGAGATAACATAACTTTCAAACACTTGATACATGATACAAAACAATATCACTCTTGAGTGTAGGCGTTGGCAGAACTTGGCTCGCACTTGCATTGTACATTATTTTGATTAAACATGAACTTAAGATGGACGAGTGGTCAAAAAGTAGGTATACTGTCACAGTCCATGGTCTTTTCATCGTCCAACGAGTCGTCCTCCGCTAACCAGTCCTTGATGGGGAACTGCTCTGGTCGGCTACTCTTGCTCTCCACATTCAGCACTAACATCTGTCTTGTTACCCCTCGCACCACTACTGCTCTCAATACCGGAATGCAACAGCAGAGGACAAGACTTATTGCCACAATGCAAATAATAACTGGTACTCCAATCTTCACCAACCCCAGTTTCCATGATCCTAAAGTCTGCTGTAGCCAGCTCAGCCAGTCCAACTCTGCATCCCTTCCAGCATTCTTCTTCATCTCTAACCTTAGAGCCTTGATTTTCCCCATTGCCTGTGTGAAAGCTCCTCCTACTCCTGTATGATCGGGAATAAATGTACAACAGTATTCACCCACTAGGGCACAGACCCCTGAGGTCTCTGCCAAAACCCAGTCTAAGGCCTGTCTATTCTGCCAGGCTACAGCACTAGTTGCATGCAACTGCTCTCCCAGGGCTGACATGGCACTATCCGTGTAATTGATGAACTGCTGGAAATTGTAGTAAATGTAGTTTATCCACTCAGTGTTTTTATTTGTGGAGATCCAGGGCAAAATGGATTCAAACCCTGACTTAATTTCAGATCTTGCCTTAAACTCCTCTGGGATCCCTCTAGGCTGCCCAATACTGTCTAAATACACACCAGGGTCTGGTCGGAACGCCCTCTTCACCCTCTTACTATCACTTGTTTCCTCCCCCTGTGGGAAAACAATGAGCTCCTGCACCACCTGCACTCTGGCGCATCTTCCGGACCAGTTGCCTAGAAGAACAGGAAACAGTACTTGGCCTCCACACCACCAAAAGTGATCGGAGAGAGGCGTTACCTGACTATGGAACGGGCAGGCAGGGACATACACAGTCTCCAATTGGGGTCCCTTAATCTGGACAGCTCGCTTCAGGGTAGACTTATTACAGTTGGCATTTACATTCCAGATGCTACTACACTTAGTTGCCTTGACTTCTCCCAACCTTACTGACCCTGTCTTTTCTATGCACTCGTACCGGCCTACAGGAAAGAATGCCACACCTCCCGGGGTCCCCATTTTTGCGCTCTGCATGCTTACTCTAACGTCTATCTCTGCACAGCGCTGAGTGTTTGTTTTACCTTTGTGGATAAACTCAACCTGCTCTTTGTACTGCGGGGTTCCCAAATACAACAGGCACTCCGCTTTACACCATACGCGCAGCGGGTCATTCTCTCTTACTGCTGTGTCACTACACTCCTTCCAACTAAACACAGTATTAAAAAGGAACAAAGGATCGGCCCTTGCCTTTGTACAAACGTAGCAGTCAGTCATTCCATTCGTCCGGCCTGCATACTGAACCCACTGATACCAGCTGTTATACTCTGCGCGATTTAGTAGTCTATCTGGCTCTACCTCCTCGGTCTCATCACCTAGCGATTTTGAATGTATGTGGTTAATGTTGTTATAGAAAAAGGAAGTAAAAAGAAACAGTGAGTATGGCAGTCCATTGGAACTACGTAGTGTTTTTGAACATGTAAATCGGGAATTTTTTTGACTTTGAGATTTAGAGACTGCGAGATCAGTCTATTGGCAAATGCACGTTGTGTTTTTAACACGTAAGTCGGGAAATTTCTGAGTCGTGAGAGTTAGAGACTGCGAGATCGTGCCTCTCGGATTCCTTGTGGGAACTGTCAGCGCGGAGGTCTGACAGTTGGACCGAGTATAAACAGGCACGAGCCCCGTGTTTGTGTGAGAAAAATAGAGCTTTTTGACCCAAAAATATAAGTAGGTTGAGCGATCTGTGAATCCGGAAAGGTCGTCCTAAATCAATAACAGGGTCTTTCTAACCCTGGGCTGATCACCTAGGGAAAAAGGGGGACAACTATCTGTTATTACGGTGCTCCGGGGTATGAGTTATGAGTTATGAGTTATGAGAAACGAAAAATGGCCATTCCCACACAAAGCGCTTTGTAAATAAGTTAAAAACCGGTTGGTGTATCTTTGTCCTGTCTTGTTATCGTGTATGCGTGTCAAATTATATTCCTGCGTGTTGATCTTATAGTGAAAAGTTTTTTAGCCATTATATACATTATTGTACAAGCAGATTAAATCTTTGTGTCGTTAATGTTGAAATCGAAAGGTTGGCTTGAACTTGATTGAAATTAACTTTGAATAACTGAAAAATTCCTTAAGCTGTTATTGAAATGAACTTACAGAAACTGTTGCTCTGTATCTCTCCGTGACTCTGCATCTCCATTTGGCTCTGTCCATCTGCGCCACATAAACACACACACACATAGACGGCCCCCACCCTTTGCTCTCCCACTTCTCCTGTGCTCTGAGTAAAGCACGGAGGCGTAACTTTGAGCTGGGACTGCTCTTAGGGTTTTGTTGACGGTTTCAAAGGCTGTATTACCTAATTTTACACAATTTTAAAATATATTCTGTTGTCCAAACAAACCAGGTCTTGTTTAAACAGCATTTTTGAATTGCGGCAAGCTGTCATTGTTGTGCTGTGAAACATTTTGTCTCTAAATACTACCGACTGAGAGATTGTGGGTTGCTCCTAAACAGTACAATTTGCTTTTGAACTGATATTAAAAGCTTCTTTCATTGTTAAATTCACAACTCCCACTTAAATTTTGGCTTACACCCATATAGTATTATTGAAAGCAACCTAAGTAAACAATGAGGCGCTGTAAGATTGGGCGTGGCGGTAATGCCCCACAGCAGCAAATGCAAGCGCAAAGTTGTAACCCAGTAGAAATTCTAGGAAAAAAGTACCCGCTCTTGGCAGAGGAAATAAAAAGTTGCTCTGAGAAATGGCACAAAATTACGAAAGATCACGAGGCACCTTGGCCACCAGAGGGTACATTTGATTTGGAGAAGGCAAACAAAATGGAAATTTTAATTAAAACATACAAACCAAAGGACAAATCACAAAAACGAATACAAAAAAGGGAAAAACAATCTATGGTGTTAAAACTGTTTGAGGAATCAGGCAAAACTCTGTGGAGGGCATGCAAGCAACACGTTAACAAATTAGTCACAGCCAGAGATGAGACTACTAAGAAACAGTTGGCAAATCCTCCACCATACTCCGCTCAGATGCCTTTAAGAAAATTATCATTCAGTGGTGATTACATATTGAAGTCTGATAAAAATGCATTGTACCCAGTTCTCACTGAAGGAAAGACACCTGTGGCGGAGCAGGGGTCGGAGGAGCTCCTCCCCTGGAAGGGGAGGAAAGGGAGGAGAGCCAGTGGCTACAGCTATGATGTAAAAAGGTCTCTAAGAAGGGCAGAGGGGATAGATGGTGATTTAGAAGGGGATATAGAAGAGGAGGAAGTTAGTGAGAAAGAGGAAATCATCGAAAAGGTTTCACAAGAGCCTTCATTACTGGACATGAGCATAATAGAAATGGAGAAAGGGGCGAGTCAGAAGGAGATTAAACTGATCCCACCCTGGAAAAACATCTTGAAGAAACAAAGCACACTGACACGATCTCTGTCCAATGACCACGTCCTAACCGAAGAGGCCAACGACGCCGCACGTATTGAACCTCCGAGAAGATCTCGTATCTCATTCAACAACGGTCAAGGGGTCATACAGGAAAAAGGAATACTAAATGGAGAAGTGTCATTCGTTTCACAAGAACCAGCTGTCACATCAACTATATTGGAGGGGATCAGAATATCCGCTGCTAGCAAAAGGCAGGGATCTCCAGTACGTGCCCTGGGCCACTATGGACTTAGAAGGACTGATACAACGTCTGCCCTGCCTACATGATGGTGCAAGTAAATGGATTGCGACTTTCGAAGAAGAGACCATTGCAAACATTATCGCCATGGGAGACATAAAGGCAATTTGGGGAAAGACTCTGGGAAAGAATGAGATGGAAGAAGTGTTATGCACTGCAAAACTGGAGCAGTATGTCAGAACCCAAGCCAATGATGGGGACATTTTCAACAGATATCGCAATCAGCTATGGACTGCACTGAGGGAAAAGTTTCCGGTCAGAATCCAGCCTGACAGCATCGTTACGGCACCCCTCAAAGAAGATGAAAGTCCCCAGGCGTACGTACATAACACACGAAAAGAGTGGATCAAGCAAACAGGTGCAAAACCGGAGGATGACATCTTCCATAGGACAGCCCTGAGGAAGCGGATAGTCGAAGGGCTGCCCGAGACGGCGCAAAGCAGACTGAATGAAGCAGTTGGACTGTACAACATGACATTTGAACAGTTTACTGACCATGTCGTTGATGCAGTGGCAAAAATGCGCAAAAAGCAGGCACGACAAAAGCAGGAGGATGAGGAGACCGTGAGGAAATTAACGCAGATACAACTGTCATCTGGGAAAAAGAAAATACAAGCCGTAGTGTCTGCTGATGTTGTACCACCAGTCCCTCAATTTCTGCCTCCAACACCGGCCCCAGCGCCGCAAGTGATTTATCTGCAAGCAGGGAATAGAGGGAGAGGCTACTCCCCTGGAAGAAGCCGAGGCAGAGGATGGAGAAGAGACCCCCCAAGATGTTATAACTGCGGACAACCCGGACATATGAAAATGAACTGCCGACAACCGCCGCGTCAGGATCCCTACTACGAGATCCAAGAACCGTATTCTGGCAGAACACCAGCAAGAGGCCCTGTAAACTCATGGCAGGGACCACCTGCTGGTTACTAGGGATGCCTTGAGAATCCAGGGGAAGGTCATCAGCTGGCGGCAACATCAAGCCCTGATGAGGAACCAATGCTGCAGGTTCTACTAGCGGGAAAACCAGTCCAGATGATGGCAGACACAGGCGCAGCCTACACCTGCGTGGGGCAACCAGATTCCCGCCACCTTCCCAAGTCACAACAATTTGTTCGCATTGTTGGATTCTCAGGGATCAAGCAGCTGACACCATTGTCCAACCCAGTGCCCCTGCATTTTCAAGGAAAGACTATTGAACTGCCAGTATTAATATCAGAGCAAACCCCGATAAACTTGTTGGGAAGAGATGCGTTATGTAAGCTGAACTGTGCTATTTTGTGCTCACCGGATGGAGTGATTGTGGAAGCATCACATTATCAAATGACATTAAACCACTACATGTCTTTGTCTATGTGTATGTCTTTGTCTGTGTGTGTGTGAGTGGATGTGGCCTGCAGAAGCAGCAGGTGGAAAGTGGAACAGGCCTCCCCCTACAGCAAGGGACCAAATTGGGCCAAACACACAGAGGGGAGCATGGGGAGCTCTCTATTAACAACAAACTTTAGTCTCATATATAACACATGTTTAAAGCTGGGGTCTGTAACTTTAGTCTCATAAATAACACAGGGTAAAGTGCTGCTACCTGCTGTTCTGTGGATTGTGGTTTTCCTGCAGAAATTCCTCAACGTTCTGAAACACACAACACTGAGCTTTAGTCCAGTTTAATTATATAGAACACACTCATGTGAGCAGGCTCTAAAGCTGAAGGGCGGGCTCTCAAGCTGAGGGGTGGGGTCTAAAGCTGAGGGGCAGGCTCTAAAGATTAAGGGCAGAGTCTAAAGCTGAAGGGTGGGATCTAAAGCTGAGGGGTGGGGTCTAAAGATGAAGGGCGGGGTCTAAAGCTGAGGGGTGGGGTCTAATGGTGTGTTCAGACCAGATCATGCGTTGCGTCGACTTTCAATGCAAAGTCAATGGTGACACAGACTGTTACGTAGAGGCGCACGGACTATGCGGGAAAGACAAAGGGGAGGAGCAGGAGCGGAACATTTTCCGCTCCTGTTTCCTCGGACGTTCGTGCAGCGACCAATCAGAGAGCCGCAAAGTGGTCACGGGGACATTAGCGGCCTGAGCGAGCAGACTGAAAATACTGTAAACAGCCAAAACAGGACCTACACCAGGACTAAAACCAGGGTTGACAATGGGGGACACAGTGCTTGTTAACATGTGAGTTTTCATGCTCCCATGACTTTATGGAACTGCTTCGAGGGTGTTCGCCGATGCGGAGGTACCGTTTAATAATAAAATAAACTTATTGCGCACCTCCGTAAACACATACTGTTATATAAAGTCCGTGGAAGGTCTCTGGACACAGACACCCTGCAGAGCTGCCTTATTGGAGACGAACTTTACACAAAAATCCGCTGGCTTAACTCTGTTAGCATCAAAGTCCGCCTGCTACTTTTCCACCGCTGGCCAGGACGTTCTGGTGTGAAGTCCTGTGCGTCTGAAAACTAGAGAATCTTTGTCTGGTGAGCGAGGCTTCAGCGTTCCAGCTTTGGCGGTCTGAACACAGCGTAAAATTGAAGGGCAGGGTCTAAAGCTGAATCACCTGGGTGAAGCTCAGCAGGTTCCTCGCACACGTCTCAAAGTTCTTCTTGGATTCTTCACTTTTGCGAAGTTGACACTGGAGCACAGCAACATTCCTCTGCAACTGGTCCTGAAGGAGACCTCAGTGAGACCGGGTCCAGTCCTGGTTCTTACCTGGTCCAGTCCTGGTCCAGTCCTGGTTCAGACCTGGTTTGGGGAATCTCTGGTCTTCAGTTCTGCGATCTCTGACTCCAGCAGGTGGATGACCTCTTCATAGTCCTGCTCCATGTCTTTCGTCTGATTCTGAACCGCTTTGGCCTGGTCCAGTCCAGATCTGAGGGTCTGGTTCTGCTCCAAGGCCTCGTCCAGCTCCTGGACAAGCACAGGGTCAGGTCAGGTCCTGGTCCTTTTCCTGGTTCTGGTCCTAGTTCTGGTCTGGTCCTGGACCATGTCCTGGACCTTGTCCTGGTCTTGGTCTGGTCCTTGTCCTGGTCTGGTTCTGGGCCTGGCCTTGGTTTGGTCCTTGTCCTGGACTGGTTCTGGGACTGGTCTTGGTTTGGTCCTGGTCTGGTCCTTGTCCTGGTCTGGTCCTGGTCCTGGTCATGGTCTAGTCCTGGTCTGGTCCCGGTCTTTGTCTGGTCCTGGTCCTGGTCTGGACCTGTCTGAGTGAGTCCAGCTTGTCCTGCAGGTAGCGCTGTGTTCTCTGCGACTCACACAGCTGCTCCTGAAACACAAGCGTCTCATTATGATGACATGACTCCGGAAACATAGGCGTCTCATTATGATGACATCACATGGGTCATACTGCCGTCAAGTGTCACTCACCTGCAGCCGCTGCACCAGAGCCTCAGCCTGATCAGTCTTCAAGCGCTCCATCTGCAGACAAGACCTGTTTTAGCCTTCCTTTAGTTGTGCTTTAGTCCTGCTTTAGTTCTTCTTTAGTCCTGCTTTAGTCGTGCTTTAGTCCTTTTTTAGTCCTGCTTTAGTCCTGCTTTAGTCCTGCTTTAGTCCTGCTTTAGTCCTGCTTTAGTCGTGCTTTAGTCCTTTTTTAGTCCTGCTTTAGTCCTGCTTTAGTCCTGCTTTAGTCCTGCTTTAGTCCTGCTTTAGTCCTTTTTTAGTCCTGCTTTAGTCCTGCTTTAGTCCTGATTTAAACCAGCTTTAGACCTGCTTTAGACCTGCTTTAGTCCTGCTTTAGTCCTGCTTTAGTCCTGTTTTAGTCCTGCTTTAGTCCTGCTTTAGACCTGCTTTAGTCCTGCTTTAGTCCTGGTCCCACTCAGAGCAGTTATTGATCCAAACAGCTTAGATTTTTCCTGTGATCTGATTGGTCCAAACTCATGGCTCATTACATAACATGTGTTTCTATTGTTAAAGTGACCCCGTCCCATCTACAGTGGGGCAATAAAGTATTTAATCAACCACCAATTGTGCAAGTTTTCCCATTTAGAAAGACGAGGGAGGCCTGTAATGTTCATCATAGGTAAACCACAACTATGAGAGACAGATGATAAGGAAAAAAAATTGAAAATCACTGTTTGATTTTGTAAGAATTTAAGTATTTGGTCAATAAGCTCAAATGCTTTCTATATGTCTTGTATTTTGGCCCATTCCTCCATGCTACTCTAGAGCTGTGATGTTTTGAGGCTGTCGCTGGGCAACACAGACTTTGAACTCCCTCAAAAGTTTTTATTTGGGGTTGAGATCTGTAGACTGGTGCAGCCACTCGTTCGTTGCCCGGGCGATGTGTTTGGGATCATTGTCGTGCTGAAAGACCCAGTTACGTTTCATCTTCGATGCCCTTGCTGATGGAAGGAGGTTTTCATTCGAAATCTCACAAATACATAGCCCCATTCATTCTTTCCTTTGCATGGATCTGTCGTCCTGGTCCCTTTGCAGAAAAACAGCCCCAGAGCATGATGTTTCCACCCCCATGCTTCACATTAGGTATGGTGTTCTTTAGGATGAAACTCTTTCAAACACGACGAGTTGAGTTTTTAAAAAGGTTGTGTTTTGGTTTCATCTGACCATGTGACTTTCGTCCAATCCTCTTCTGGATCATCCAAATTCTCTCAAGCAAACTTCAGACGGGCCTGGACATGTACTGGCTTACTTTGATCCCAGCTCTCTGCAGGTCATTCACTGGCTCTGGGATTTTTGCTCATCGTTCTTTTGATCATTTTGAATCCTCGGGGTGAGATCTTGCGTGGAGTCCCAGATCGAGGGAGATCATCAGCGGTCTTGTGCGTCTTCCATTTTCTAATAATTGTTGATTTCTTCACACAAAGCTGCTTACCTATTGCGGATTCAGTCTTCCCAGCCTGGTGCAGGTCTACAATTTTGTTGCTCGTGATTTTCTGTATTTTTTTGCTCATTCTTTCCCTCGTAGTTGAGGTTTACATATGATGAAAATTACAGGCCTCCTTCATCTTTTTAAATGGGAGAACTTGCACTACTGGTGGCTAAATACTTTTTTCCCCACTTTATCTAACCCCTCTCTTGTCAAACTTGTCACCAACAGTGTGGTTTTACCTGAGGCTCAGTGTCAGGCTGCAGGTCCGAGGTCTTATCCGGCTCGAGTCCGGACTCCTCTTCTTCTGTGACATCACAGAGAATGCGAGTGGTCTGGGAAGTCTCCAGGGTCTGGGAAGTCTCCAGGGTCTGGGAGGTGTCTTGGGTCTCTGGGCTTGCATCAGTCACTGTGGGACTCAGTCTCATCTAAACAAAAACATATTTATATAAACTAAGCAGTAGTAGTAGTAGTAGCAGCAGTAGTAGTAGTAGTAGTAGTAGTAGCAGTAGTAGTAGCAGTAGCAGCAGTAGTAGTAGCAGTAGCAGTACTAGTAGTAGCAGTAGCAGTAGTAGTAGTAGTAGTAGTAGCAGTAGTAGTAGTAGCAGTAGTAGTAGCAGTAGCAGTAGTAGCAGTAGTAGTAGTAGTAGTAGCAGTAGTAACAGTAGTAGTAGTAGTAGTAGTAGCAGTAGCAGTAGCAGTAGTAGCAGTAGTAGTAGCAGTAGTAGTAGCAGTAGCAGTAGTAGCAGTACTAGTAGCAGTAGTAGTAGTAGTAGCAGTAGTAGTAGCAGTAGCAGTAGTAGCAGTATTAGTAGTAGTAGTAGTAGTAGTAGCAGCAGTAGTAGTAGTAGTAGTAGTAGTAGTAGAAGTAGTAGTAGTAGTAGTAGCAGTAGTAGTGTAAGCGTGTGCTAGAGTGCGCATGCACCGATTCAATCTGAAGAGACCAAGACAGAAACATGAATGCATGAAAAAGATTTATTTGATTGGTGCATTGACCCCAGCAGTGACACTTGCAGAGGGGAGATCGTCTGCTGCTGTAGATGATCTCAGATCCTCGGGGTCAAGCACTGGTGGTGGCTTGAAGCATGGTGTGAATGGGCCGTTGGTGGAGCAGGAGCCAGAGCAGGTACCAGGGCAGGAGCCAGAGCGGAAACCCGAGTAGGAACCAGGAGCTGAGGAGGCGCTGGGGAGGCGCTGGGGAGGCGCTGGGGAGGCGCTGGGGAGGCGCTGGGGAGGCGCTGGGTGCAAACAGCTTCAGGAAGCGTTGTTTATCGGGGAGTGGCTGCTTTCAAACTGCCTGCTTTGCTGTCAGTGGGTTGTCAAGGGGCTGGCCGGGCTGTGTGATTGGCAGAGGCTCGAGGCTGGCAGAGCTGTGTGATTGGCAGGCCCTGGACGGGTGAGAGCCGTGGCCGGTCTTTCAGTCTGAATTTGCGCTTCAGCTTCATTTGGCTGTTTTACTTTTGAAAATGTGAACTGGTCTGAGGAGCGAGTAACGGTCCTGGTGGCGCTGTTCATGCAATAAAAGGAGAATGGTTATCGGCTCACTCTCAAACAACAATTCTGCCTCTGCATCTTATTCCTAACCCAGCCCGCCCTGTACAGTCGTAGTAGCCGTAGCAGCAGTAGTAATAGCAGTAGTAGCAGTAGCAGCAGCAGCAATAGCAGTAATAGCAGCAGTGATTCCCATTGACTGTAAATATTAAAGGACATAGTCACGCCTATTTCCACCGTTCAAACTAATGGGCCAAAAATTCTGCTCTACTGGAGCTATCCAAAATGGCCGCGAGTGGTCCCGGCCACAAGAAAATTGTGAAAAAAACGCATCTGCGCATGCGTCAGCCGGCAAGAGCTCCATTCATTTGAACGAGAGACTTCAAAAATTCACAGCGAGTAAACCAGAGGGGTCCAAAAAATGTGGAACGGAGCTTTGGGCCAAGAGCCAACTTTTGGTCCATCCTGTAAAGACGTTTTCGAGAGGTCACCTAATGCTATATGTTAGCATTGGCTAATTCTTCTTCTGGGTCCACCCCCCATCGGCCCGGGGTGGTATTGCAAGTATGTCAGCGCACGTCATTTTGGCCACTTTTGAGCTGGGACCCGCCCCCACCGGTTACACCACTCTGACAACTATTCAGACCAGAAAAGTCCTTCGCTCCGCTTTCTTGGTCTGAACCAAAAGCGGACCAAATATTTCTCTTTTGCTCCGGTTCGTATTCAGACTGTACTTTTTGCAAGTGAACTTTATTTATAAACATATCGACGCGTGTGACAATCGGCGCTTCTATTGGACAACGAGAGCTCACGGAGAATAGATGTGTAAATGGAGGAAAATATAGAGCTTGTTACGGCTCGTACATGCTGCACGTCTGCTCTGCCTATGTTTGCTCATTTTAGAGCAAAACCACCTTCAACATCCACAGCAGCTCATTCGACACAGGCTAAACGCGTTGTTTCAAATTTTAGAACAGCGTCGGCAAATGCGTGCTGTCGAAAGCCGAAGGACACTCTGTGTGCTACGTGCCCTGTCCCACATATGGATCTATAATAATAACCCTGTCCCACAACATACTGACAGCAGCAGCATTCTGGATAAACAGACGACGGAGGATCAGGTATGAACCAAAGAACACAATTCACTACATGATGCAGGATAATGCTGTTTTAGACGTGAGTCGAACACGTGAGGCTTTTAATAATGCAAATGATTTGAAGATGCTGCCATTAACAACACTGTATACTGTGAAAAGTTTTAACTCCAAAAGCCTGATGCACAGTGTCTCCTTGTTGCTCCAGGTCTGCCCACGGCTCATTGTTGTTGTTTAGCGTTAGCAGCTGTGACGCGTGGCTAATTCCTCACAGTTCCTGTCTACGGTGGCTTGTTAAGCCCAAAAAATGCGCACGTATCCTGGAGTTGTGTCGGATCGACACCGGTTGTATTCAGACCTGAATTGACTTGGACCAGAGTTTGTTTGGAAGCGGACCGAGACTACCTAAAAAAGTGGGTCTCGGTCCGGTTCTTTGGTCCGGACCAGGATTCGTTTGTGTGTATTCACCATAGACTGTATATATTAACGGACAGAGTCACGCCTATCTCCGCCGTTCTAACTAATGGGCCAAAAAATGTGCTCTACTGGAGCAATCCAAGATGGCCGCGAGTGGTCCCACCCACAAGAAAATTGTGGAAAAAACGCATCTGCGCATGCGTCAGCCGGCGCAACTCCATTCATTTGAACGAGAGACTTAAAAAATTCACAGCAAGTAAACTAGAGTGGACCAGAAAATTCCACTCCCCTCAGCATTGACACACATGTGGAACGGAGCTTTGGGCCAAGAGCCAACTTTTGGTCCATCCTGTAAAGACGTTTTCGAGAGGTCTGTCAACGCTATATGTTAGCATTGGCTAATACTACTTCTGGGTCCACCCCCATTGGCCCGGGGTGGTATTGCAAGCATGTCAGCGCACGTCATTTTGGCCACTTTTGAGCTGGGACCCTCCCCCACTGGTATTCACACCTGCATAAAAGGTTCGGATCAGAGTTCCAAACAAATCCTGGTCTGTTTAAAGTAGACCAAATGTGCAGGTTTGAATACACACTTAGTGTGGAAAAATCAATCCGTCCTTCTTCTTCCCCTTAATCCATTTCTGGGTCGGGGGGGTGGCAGTCAGAGCACCCAATTCACTGATCCTCCTGCAGGTGGCGAGTACACAGGAGCCGTCTTTCAGCGGGGGCTTCAGGCAACGTGGGGTTAAGTGTCTTGCCCAAGGACACAACGACAGCTGACATCAGTGGGAGTCGTGAAGTAGGTCTCATGGTCTGTTTGAACCCCCAACCTTCAGGCCCAACGGCCAATGCTCTACCAACTAAGCCACTGTCGCCCCAGTGTGGAAAAAATTAGCTCTTGAAATTTTCTCCAGAACACACCGGCAAAAACAGGACAAACAGACAGTAGCAGATCAAAATGACAAGTCCTTCAGTTCAAGCTTTAAAAAGAAAACTTGCCTGTTATACCAGGAGCCGCAAGTGCTCCCTGAGAGTTCACGTGCTCCCAAGTAACTGATATTGTTTTAAGACAATTGTTACATTAACTTTGTCTATGTACTTAAAACAATGACAATTATTTCTGCAATATGAAAGAACTATACATTTATTCTAAGTGCTACCGTAGCAGTAGTAACACAGAGAACAATACTGGTCCGAGGATAAAGCCCTGTGGTACACACCTCACTGAGTCGGACTTCTGGAAGAGTCTCAGACTGAGGGGGGCTCCTGCTGATCTGTGTCCCTAGAGACAGAGGCCTGTTCTGGGAACGAGCTGCTGATGTGGCTCCTACAGGACTCTGAGGACCCGGGGAACAACCAGAGGGACGAGGACGCAGGAAGGACACCTCCACTGTGGGCTCCGGTCTACAGGAGAGAGAAAGGTCAGAGAGACCAGAGAGATTCCCGAGAGAGACCAGAGGGGGCTCACCTCAGTCTGGTTTTAGACAGGATGGTTCTTGCTTCTTCAAACGTGACTCCTATCAGAGACTCTTTATTCACAGAGATGAGCTGATCACCGGGGAGGAGGCGCCCATCCTGAGGAAAACACATGTGTTATGACGAACTACCAGGGGAGAGAGGAGAGAGAGGAGAGAGCAGAGAGGAGAGAACAGAGAGGAGAGAGAGAGGGGAGAGAGGAGAAAGAGGAGAGAGAGAGGGGAGAGGAGAGAGAGGGAAGAGAGAACAGAAAGGAGCGAGAGGAGAGGAATAGGAGGAGCTTACCTTGTGACAGTCTCCTCCCTGGAGCACTTCCTGGATGAACACCATTGGTCCGTCAGGTCGATTGGCTCCGCCCCTTATGACCAGACCAAGACCAGAGGCTTTGGAGACGCAGACGAGCCGGATCACACTGTCGCTATGACAATACATCAAAACCACAACACACTGTCACTATGACAACGCATCAAACACACAATATGAAATAGTCTGGACCTGGTCTGGACCTGGTCTGGACCTGGTCTGGACCTGGTATGGACCTAGTATCACCTGATCATAGTAGTGGGACTCAGCAGCTGTGGCGACTCGGATCTGGATGAGCTGTCAGTCAATTTGGAAACTGCAGAGACACACAGGTGTTGACACAAACAGACACACCCATGCACAAAAACAGACACACACACACACACACACTCACTGGTGTGGTCTTTTCTGGAGCAGGTCTGTGGAGAGGGGAGTCCGCTGTGAGTGTATATAGGGAGGCTGTATGTGTCCATCAGCTCCAGGAACTCACGTCTGAAAAATAAAGACACACATAGACACACACACAAACCCACGCACACTAGAGCAGACATGTGTGGAGTCTGCCTCCCTCTGGTGGCCATCATGCTATATATGATATTATGCTTATGTGACTGATGTCAGCCTCTCTCCTCTCTCCCCCTCTCTCCCCCTCTCTCCTCCTCTCTCTCCTTTCTCCCCCTCTCTCCTCCTCTCTCTCCTCTCTCCTCCTCTCACTCTGGTCTCTCATACTTTGCCTTCTCGTCTCTGGAGATGAGCAGAGTCATGTGATTGGTCAAAGATGCTTTCCTCAGGATCTCCACGGCTCTGAAACGCAAACATGGACTTTAAACATAGACTTTAAACATGGACTTTAAACATGGACCTTAAACATGGACTTTAAACATGGACTTTAAACATAGACTTTAAACATAGACTTTAAACATGGACTTTAAACATAGACTTTAAACATGGACTTTAAACATGGACTTTAAACATAGACTTTAAACATGTACTTTTAACATGGACTTTAAACATGTACTTTTAACATGGACTTTTAACATGGACTTTAAAAATGTACATTTAACATAGACTTGAAACATGTACTTTTAACATGGACTTTAAACATGTACTTTTAACAGGGACTTTAAACATGTACTTTAAACATGTACTTTAAACATGGACTTTAAACATAGACTCTCAACATGGACTTTTATCATGGACTAAACAGTCGCTGACCTGTCGTTTGTGGCTCCGATTAAACTTGTGTCGTTCACGTCCAGTATCAAATCTCCAGACCTCAGCCGACCTGCAACCACAGCCACAGAGGGTCTGTCCTGGTCTGGGTCCCGGTGTAACAGGTCAGTTTAACCCCCCGCCAGAATATACCCGGGTATAATGTAGCCTAGGCCAGATTATACCCCCGGGGTTATAATAGCCTAGGCAAGAATGTACCCCGGGGTATGAACTGGCCTAGGCTAGTTTAACCCCCCATAGGCCAGATTAACCCCCCCTTTCATTTTATATAATAACAATAAAATACAAGCAGTGTTTTATTTATTTATTTATTTCTTACTAAATACATTTAGGAAAAGATATGATTTATGAAACTATTCTATATAAAACTATAACAATGATAAAACTATAACAATGTCCTAATACTCCCGTACTGTACTTTACAGAACCATACAGCAATATTCCCATTTTTAAAGAATCCTTACATTGAATACAAGTATATTTAAATATAAAAACAATTTACAGAAAAAAGGCCTGCACTCTATGCGTACATCACAGGTTTTTGATTCAAAAACAACAGTTGACGCATCAACAGTCATCAGCAGTCACACAGTAACTCTTCCATGATCCAATGAGAAGTCAGGAAACACACTGAACCGAAGAAACTTTTCGACACCGACACCGTTGATATGCGCAGTGAAGCAGCGACTGCAGAGTCCAAGACACTGACACGTTTGTCACGTGTTCTGGTACACGCTCCAATGCAGTGTTTCGAAGCAATTTGCTTCGGAAAGAGCGACACAGGCTCCAGAGCATCTGTGTCATTTGCCCATAATTAATATCTACTCAAAAGTTCTAGAGGTGCTTTCACACCGCCAACCCTGGAACGCTGACGCCTCGCGCACCAGACGCACATTCTCTAATTTTCAGACGCAGGAGTCTTCAGACCAGAAGTCCTGGGCTGCGGTGGCGCCCGCCGGAAATGGCGGAAGTAGCGAGCGGACTTTGATGCTAACGGAGTTAAGCTAGCGGCTTTTTGTGCAAAGTTCTTCTCCAATAATGCAGCTCTGCAGCGTCTGGGCCCAGAGACTTTATATAACAGTAGTATGTGTTCACGGGGGTGACTTTATATAACAGCAGTATGTGTTCACGGAGGTGTGCCATACTTTTATTTTATTATTAAACGATACTTCCGCATCGGCGAACACGCTCGAAGCAGTTGCATAAAGTTACGGGAGCATAAAAACGCATATCTTCACAAGCACACAGTCCCCCATTGTCAACCCTGGTTTTAGTCCTGGTTTAGTCCTGGTGTAGCTCCTGTTTTGGCTGTTTACTGTATTTTCAGTCTGCTCGCTCAGACCGCTAATGTCCTTTGCGGCTCTCTGATTGGTCGCTGCATGAGCGTCCCGAGGAAAAGCACAGCAATATTTATCTCCTGCGTGCGTCGATTTTAAGATAAAATAAGATAAGAATTCCTTTATTCGTCCCACAGTGGGGAAATTTCCGCTCCTGCGCCTCTGCCGCGCCTTTGCCGCACAGTCCATGCATCTCTACCGTGCAGTCCGTGCGTGCATCCTGAGACGCACATACATGTCACCATTGACTTTGAATTGAAAGTCGATGCAACGCATGATCCGGTGTGAAAGCACCCTAAGAAGTAAGTAGATACATTGACTCATCACCTCACAAACAAAGTGTGAAAAGCAATCACACTAATTAGGGCTACAGAGTAATTAACAAACTACTTCTAAATTATTTTAAATAATATTGAAGTTAAAAAAAATATATATATATTTTATTATTATTAGATAAAACAAGAGGGGGGTTAATCTGGCCTAAGGGGGGTTATACAGTAATAGCCTAGGCCCCCAGGGTATATTCTGGTTTAAGCTATTTTAACCCCGGGGTATAAACCGGCCAGGGGGTATAAAACGGCCTGTTACACCGGTCCTGGTCTGGGTCCTGGTCCTGGTCTCACCGTCAGTAAAGGCCAGTCCTCCTGAGACCACTCTCTTTACGTAGATCCCAAAGTCTTCTCCGCTGTATTCCCTGAATCCTCCAATGATCTTCACTCCTGAAACAAAGGTGTGATTAGACCCGTGCTACGGCCCGGACCCGGACCCAGACCCAGACCTCTGAACTGAGATCTGATCTCTGACCTCAAACCTCTGACCTTAGACCTCTGACCTTAGACCTCTGACCTTAGACATCTGAGTATACAGACTAGGGCTGTCAAAATTAACTCACGTTAATTACATTTTTTATTAACGCGTTAAAAAAAATGAACGCATGTCCGAATGACCCGCCCATTTATCCATAATATCACTCAGAATGCCGCGGACACATGGCTGTGTGAGATGGCATCAGAGCAGGTAGGCCCTCTGGGAATCCAAGTTTTAAAAGAATACCCGCGTGACAGCGGGGATGTTGTTGGTTGTTGTTTGCTATGAAGTCCCCCTCCCGGGGCACACACCGGGGGCAGCTGTGGCCGCTCTGGTTGTTGTTAGCGACGCGCCGCGGTTAGACCTACGCGCCACAGGACTTTACTCTGCATGTTGTGTGCTTGCTTTGCAACCTGTGCGTAACCTGTGCACGCAAATACACTGCGGATTGTCCGTGTCTCCTCCTGAAACTAAACTAAACTAAACTAAACTTGCTCAATTAAAGCTGGGGTATGTGCATTTTCCCCTTTCATTTATAGCTCATTTTGGTTGTGCCAGAAAAGTAATAGGTTGTGAATCAAACAGATTGAAGTACATTTGGTATGAATGACAATGTGTCATTACATATGATAATCTCATTTAACTTCAATTGGAGTGGATTTGAAATCCATCCATCCATCCATTTTCTTCCCTTTAATCCATTTCTGGGTCAGGGGGGTGGCAGTCAGAGATGCCACCCAAGTCTCATAGCACCAGCCCCTCACTGACCCTCTGCAGGTGGTGAGTCCACAGGAGGACAGCTGCTATAAGTGTGAGCATAGCCTTGATCTTTCAGTGGGGGCTTTGGGCAAAGTGGGGTTAAGTGTCTTGCCCAAGGACACAACGACAGCAGTCATCAGTGGGAGTTGGTGGAGAAGGTGCAGAGGTGGGAATTGAACCCACGACCTTCTGGCCTGAAGGCCAATGCTCTACCAACTGAGCTACTGTCGCCCTGGATTTGAAATAGTATGTTAAAAATGTGATTAATCGTGAGTTAACTCACCATTACTATGCGATTAATCAACTAAAACATTGTAATCGTTTGACAGCCCTAATACAGACCCAATCCTCTGCGGCAGTCGTGGAACTCAAGGCGATGGACGGTCCGCGAGACTCCATGGGGACCCATCATCATCCTGCAACAACAACACACTTTAAACCTGAGGTACGGGACTTTAATACTGAGGTATGTGAACCATGTCTCTCGGTCTGGCTCCAAAACATTTGCTTCTATCACAGTTTCATATGCCAAGTTAGGGACCTCAGCTTTAAACACGTGTTATGTATGAGACTGAAGTTACAGACCCCAGGTTTAAACATGTGTAATTTGGAAGAGTTACAGACCCCAGCTATGACCTGCAGCTGTGAGCTGCAGCAGAGAGGATTAAGGGATTAGAACACAGGTACAAAACCGAGTCTGGACCTAGACTGACCGGGTCTGGACCAGGTCTGAACCGGGACTGAACTGTTGTTAGGCTTGTAAACATGACCCTCTCTCACTGCTACAGCCACAGCTGACAGGAGCAAGTAATCTTTTACTTCTCACAGAAAAACTGCGTTTTTCATACAGTACACAGACACACGCGCACGTACATACATACAAACATTCACGCGCGCGAACATACACACCCACACACACACACACACACACACACATAGGGAGCCCTCCTCGCACTCATGAGGGTTATCAACTAAAACGCGTCAACAAGTCAACAACATGTCTGGTCCAGTCCTGATCCAGTCCTAGTTCATCCTGGTTCTTCTCGGAACTGCGTACCTGTAATAATCCGTTCTAATCTCGTTACATTCCCGGTATAAAATCTGCGTGTATCTCTTCCGGTCTCTCCCGGTCTCTCCCGGTCCCTCCCGGTATCTCCCGGTATGTCACTCACCAGTACAGCAGGGACAGTCCATTGTATTTGTCCACCTCACGAGGCAGCAGTGGCATCTCCGCGACTAACACGCGACCAAAGCGCAGTCGACATGTGGCCTATCCGAGACACAACAGACGTAAACAACACGTAAGTGTCCAATGGTGATGGGACAGGCCAAAGGACTGTCCAATCAGAGCAGAGGACACAGGAGCCTGGAGCAGGTGGCGACAGCGCGCAAAGACGCGCGTCACCTGCGCAGCTCTCATTCCTCCTGACGCGTACAAACCTGCGTCTAAACCGCTCTGACCTGAAGCGAAACCGGCAGCCCTCAATCATGTACTCTAATGTACTCTGTAGTAAAGTATTGTACATAGTGTTAATATACCAAAGCTCTGAAAAAACACCCTACAGCCTCAGTCCTGCGTATACAACCTCAGTCCTGGGTCTACAGCCTCAGTCCTGCGTATACAACCTCAGTCCTGGGTCTACAACCTCAGTCCTGGATCTACAACCTCACATCCCCCAGCTTTAAAGTAAAGTACCCCATCCTTACCGTGTGTTGTACTTTTCACTTTAATGCTTTAATTATTCACGATGACGTCTGCGCTCTGGTCCCGTGTGGTGTTTACGTTGGTCACGTCACAGTCAGCTGGATGATTCAGCAGCAGCCTCATGGACACGCCACCCACCCGGGCTAAAACCGGGGCCACAGCTGGCCACAGCGGGCCAAACGCGGAGCTAACACAGCGTCCTGGGGTAGCACGGGTCTGACCCCCCCGCAGACCGCAAATACCGCTCAAAACAGCGGAATTCTGCTGTGAAACCGGAGAACCCTGCAGTCAGACAATTGCACTCACGGAAAAGGACGAAGATTCCCGAGCGACCTGCCGAGTCCTGCGTCTGCATTTACGATGGATTTGGACTCTATACGGCATTGAAATCACTTAAACACTGCACGGACCTGGACAGTGACATGACCGAGGCATATACGAGGTAATAGCTGAGACAATTGATGTAAAACGAATGCATTCAGTGGCCAAAGCGAAGACAACAGCAGCGAACAGCACTGACGGAAAAGAACGAAGTTAGACGGAGTTTCCCGACTGACATTCCTTCTGTTTGGGACTTACACCGCATCCTAGCTGGATTTTACTGATTCTAACGCGCATAAAAGTCCTAACCGCCGCCCAGAGCCTCATTCGCACTGAAACTGTATGTTTGTAAATGAGCAGTTGTTGATAATGGATAAAAACCCGCACATTTCCGCGTTTGGAGTCGGATGCTGTTGATGCTCGCGCTCTGCAGGTGAGAGTCCCATTTACACACACAGGCTTTAAATACAGAACATATAACCTCTTTGCTCATACTATATACACATACTATACACATACTATACTCATACTATATACACATACTATACTCATACTATACACATACTATATACACATACTATACTCATACTATATACACATACTATACTCATACTATATATACATACTATACACATACTATACTCATACTATATATACATACTATACACATACTATACTCATACTATATACACATACTATACACATAATATATACACATACTATACCCATACTATACACATACTATATACACATACTATACTCATACTATACTCATACTATATACACATACTATACTCATACTATACACATACTATATACACATACTATACTCATACTATATACACATACTATACTCATACTATATACACATACTATACTCAAAATATACACATACTATACTCATACTATATACACATACTATACTCATACTATATACACATACTATACTCATACTATATACACATACTATATACACATACTATACTCGTACTATACACTCATACTATACTCATACTATATACACATACTATACACATACTATATACACTATATACCCATACTATACACATACTATATACACATACTATACTTATACTATACTCATACTATATACACATACTATACTCATACTATACACATACTATATACACATACTATACTCATACTATATACACTTACTATACTCATACTATATACACATACTATACTCAAAATATACACATACTATACTCATACTATATACACATACTATACTCATACTATATACACATACTATACTCATACTATATACACATACTATATACACATACTATACTCGTACTATACACTCATACTATACTCATACTATATACACATACTATACACATACTATATACACATACTATACTCATAATATATACTCATAATATATACTCATACTATATACACATACTATATACACATACTATACTCATACTATACTCATACTATATACACATATTATACCCATACTCTACTCATACTATATACTCGTACTACTCACATACTTTACTCATACTATACACATACTTACTCATACTACACACGTACTATCCTCATACTATACACATACTATATACACTTATTATACCCATACTATACTCATACTATATATTCGTACAATTCACATACTATACACATACTATTTACTCTATACACACTTATTATACCCATACTATTTACATACTATACTCTTACTATATACACTTATTATACCCATACTATACACACACTATACTCAAACTATATGTCACATGCATCAGTGTTGTGTGTGAGGCCTCATACCGAGATCAAATTAAAGGTTTAATATGGATTTAGTTCGAATTTGAGCGTGATTTCAAGTTGCTCCAGAACAGGTGTCACTGAGGAGTAGGGTTTCTCTCATTCATCTTTCATGTGTCATAAGAGCTCTGTGGAAAAATCAGATTTATCTGCGTTTAAAATTAACTTTAGTCTCAGAAATAACACATGTTTAAAGGTTAGTATTTACTGTGAGTCACTATCTGCCTCTTTGGGCTGAGAGCATTTTTCTGTCTGATCTGTCTGAAAAATCTGATCTAAAGATGTGACAAAGATTGAACATACATGATGTGAAAACGAGACCAAGACCAGGACTAGGACCAAGGCCAGGACCAAAACCAAGACCAAGACTAGAACAAGGACCAGGACCAAGACCAGAATTTATGGCTGTTCAAAAGTCTCTTTTGATGATAAGACTGTTCTAATGAGAGAGATCAAAGTCCAGATACCACCTGGTTCAGACCTGGTCCAGACCTGGTTAAGTCCTGGTCCAGATCTGGTTAAGTCCTGGTCCAGACCTGGTCTTAAAGGGCTGGAGTCGTTTTTATGTAAATTAGGATGTTTGTGCAGAGTGAGGAGTTTCCTCAGAGACAAACTGTTCATTCACTCCAGACCAAGGCCTGGTCCAGACCTGTTTTAGACCTGTTTTGGACCTGTTTTAGTCCTGTTTTAGACCTGCTTTAGACCTGCGTTAGACCTGCTTTAGACCTACTTTCGTCCTGCTTTAGACCTACTTTAGTCCTGATTTAGTCCTGCTTTAGACCTACTTTAGTCCTGCTTTAGACCTGCTTTAGTCCTGCTTTAGACCTACTTTGGTCCTGCTTTAGACCTACTTTAGTCCTGCTTTAGTCCTGCTTTAGTCCTGCTTTAGTCCTGCTTTAGTCCTGCTTTAGACCTGCTTTAGACCTGCTGTAGACCTGCGTTAGACTTGCTTTAGACCTGCTTTAGACCAGATTTAGTCCTGCTTAAAACCTGCTTTAGACCAGCTTTAGACCTGCTATAGACCTGCCCTAGTCCTGATTTACTCATGTATTTTTAAATCTTTGTTCAGAGAAGAACATTAAAGTTTCACAGTTTTTCCTCTTGGCCTCAGGACACTAGACTGTCATTAATGGGATCGCCGACGCTTGAATGCAACTTGCACTGTACGCACCTCAAGCCCCGGTGATCCAAGATGGCGCCTTATTCAAATCAATGGCTTTTGCTCAGTAGTGCATGGGACATACACAGTAGGGGTGTGACGATATATCAATTTTTCAATACTTTCCTCCGCGATTCGATTATCAATATGCATTTGCCAAGTATCGATTTTGAAAAAAATATATATATATATTATTATTATATATATTTTTTGAATTAGTATCAATATTTAATATATGGCTACATTACGCATCTCCATTCCATTTATCATGAAATAAAGTATATTTTTTATTTTATTTATGCCATAAATTGGCATATTGTATATTTCTGACCAATATATCGATAATCGTCATATCGTGATAAAATCGTTATCGTGAGCTTTGTATCGTGTATCGTATCGTATCGTGAGGTACCCTTAGGTTCCCACCCCTAATACACAGGGATTGAAAGATTAGCAGAACTCACCCATATTTGGTCATCGTCTGGTCCTTCCGGTAGTAGATGAGCTCCCATGATGCTTTGCACCAAACACGCGATTTTTATAAAACCGGATTTGAAAACTAAAAGTTTAGGATGACAATGGACACTAAAATCCCCTCAAAATGCACCCTTTATAAAAGTTGTAGGTTCTCTGTCAGCTGAGGTCGAGCTGTTTTAGTTTACATCGAGTTCTATGGGACTTTTTTCTGGGTAGCCCACGTTAATTTAGTCTGCAGTACCACGGGTGCCCCCTGTGCCCATGGGTGGGACAGCTATAAGCTAGTAATACCCTATCCAGTTATTATTATAGATCCATGACGCACATTCACAAAATTTTTACTTTTGCGTTCAGCGGAAGTGGCGGGCGGGCTTTGAGGCTAACCAAGTTAAGCTAGCGGCTTTTTGTGTAAAGTTCTTCTCCAAGAATGCAGTTCTGCAGCATCTCTGTGTCTGAGACCTTCCAGAGATAACAGCAGTATGTGTTCACGGAGGTGCGCCATAAGTTTATTTTATTATTAAAAGGTACTTCCACATCGGCGAACACGTTAGCAGCACTTGTTACAGTCACTGTAGAACAAGAACTCAGGCTCAAGCACTGTGGGCTTAAATGTACTGGTTTAACTGGTTTAAATGTAAAATGTAAATGTGCTCTTTATTATTATTGTCCCCGTAGGGAAATTTGTCCTCTGCATTTGACCCATCCTGATGCCACTAAGGCTTACGTCAGGAGCAGTGGTAGCCATAGTACAGGCCCCGGGAACCCATCTCCAGATGCTCCTAGTGAGCATATTTTTAGTGGTAGGGGAAACCGGAGCACCCGGAGGAAACCTACGCAGGCACGGGGAGAACATGCAAACGCCATTCAGAAAGGCCCTGTTCTGACCGGGATTCGAACCCAGGACCTTCTTGCTGAGAGGCGAGAGTGCTATCCACTCAGCCACCGTGCCCGTTTAGTCCTGGTTTAGTCCTGGTTTAGTCCTGGTTTAGTCCTAGTTTAGTCCTGGTGTAGTCCTGGTTTAGTCCTGGTGTAGTCCTGGTGTAGTCCTGGTGTAGTCCTGGTGTAGTCCTGGTTTAGTCCTGGTGTATGTCCTGTTTTGGCTGTTTACGAGTATTTTCAGTCCTCTCGCTCATACCGCTAGTGTGTCTGTAAGTTTCAACTCAGTTCCTCATCAGAGAACAGTGCAACCTCAGCCCCCTGTGTCCTCTCTCAGACTGCAGTTCAAGTTAGCGATCGGCAGATATTGTGAGCATCAGTAAAACCTTGCAGTTCCATCTTCTTTCTGGTGGATTGTGGATGAACTGGTTTCTTTCACAGAAGCATTTTATTATTTAAATAGAAAGAACAGTCACAACCCACAGCTCCAAGCAGGTCTAAAGCAGGTCTAAAGCAGGTCTAAAGCAGGTCTAAAGCAGGTCTAAAGCGGGTCTAAAGCGGGTCTAAAGCAGATCTAAAGCAGTTCTAAAGCAGTTCTAAAGCAGTTCTAAAGCAGTTCTAAAGCAGGTCTAAAGCAGGTCCAAAGCAGGTCCAAAGCAGGTCCAAAGCAGGTCCAAAGCAGGTCCAAAGCAGGACTAAAGCAGGTCTAAAGCAGGACTAAAGCAGGACTAAAGCAGGTCTAAAGCAGGTCTAAAGCAGGTCTAAAGCAGGTCTAAAGCAGGTCTAGGGCAGGACTAAAGCAGGTCTAAAGCTGTTGTCTAACTGTTGTTTTTGTTGTCGTGGACTTTCTGGACTGAGGCTCGTGAAGCGTTAATGTGACGCCTCCGAGGGAAGTATTAAAACAGGAAAATGATCAGAGACGAGGACTCAGTGTGGAGGATCTTCTTCTACTACTGATACTACTGCTGCTGCTACTACTACTACAACTGCTTCTACTGATGCTACTACTACTACTGCTACTACTACTACTATACTACTGCTACTGATACTACTGCTTGTACTTGTACTTCTGCCACTGACCATGGTAAGGGGTTCTTTTTTATTATTACACAAGGTTTTAGTTGAAAGGGCAGAGTTTCAGTGATTTGTTCACTCACTGTTGTTAGTCTTGCTTCTAAGATCATTCCTTCATTGTGGTTAGCCCTGCTTCTAAGTTTATTTTGTCACTGTGCTTTTACAATTGAAATAATTTCAACTCTAAAAACCAGAAAAAAAACTTTTGGAGACAACAATCATCTCTCCTCTCTTCTCTTCTCTCTCTCTCTTCTCTTCTCTCTCTCCTCTCTTCTCTCTCTCCTCTCTTCTCTTCTCTCTCTCCTCTCTTCTCTCTCTCCTCTCTTCTCTCTCTCCTCTCTTCTCTCTCTCCAGGGGAAGCTTTTCTTCAGCAGGGACAGTCTAAAGCAGGACTAAAGCAGGACTAAAGCAGGTCTAAAGCAGGTCTAAAGCAGGACTAAAGCAAGTCTAAATCTTACGCAAGTCTGCTGCTGGTCATGGGTCATGAGTTTTCCCTGTGGTTTGAACATCAGTGATACTGCTGCGTGTGACGGTGGCCCTCGAGGGACAAATTGAAAAGGCCGATTGTGCATCAGCAGAATGTGACCAGAGCCGTGAAATTAGAGACCAGAGAGAGACCAGAGAGAGACCAGAGAGAGACCAGAGAGAGACCAGAGAGAGACCAGAGAGAGACCAGAGAGAGACCAGAGAGAGACCAGAGAGAGACCAGAGAGAGAGACCAGAGAGAGACCAGAGAGAGTTCTGATGAAGGAGGGGATCAATCAATCAATCAATCAAATTTTATTTATAGAGCCCTTTACAACACACAAGGCGACCAAAGTGCTTTACAATGAAATCACATAAAATCTGTTAACAACATTCATACAACCAAACAATAAAAACAGATAAAAACAGATAAAACCATGAGAAACTAAAGTGTCGCCGTGCTACTGAGTATTAAAAGCCAGCCTGAATAAATATGTCTTAAGTCAAGATTTAAAAAGGCGAAAGTCAGTGATTGTGCGTAGGTTAGGGGGCAGCTTGTTCCAGAGGTTTGGTTCAGCAACTGAAAAGGCTCAATCACCCCAATGTTTGGACTGAGTCCTGGGCACTTCCAGTACGAGCTGATTTGTTGACCTCAATGATCTGCCCGAGTCACGAACTGTTAGAAGTTCGGACAGGTATGAAGGGGCGAGACCATTGAGGGCTTTAAAAACAAAGAGAAGAATTTTAAAATCAACTCTAAAAGAAACTGGAAGCTAATGTAAAGAAAAAAGGACTGGGGTGATGACGTCTGGGGGTGTTTGTTAAAAAAACGAGCTGCAGCATTTTGCACCAACTGGAGACGATTAAGACAGGACGGGAAACTCCAAAATAAAGGGCATTACAATAATCAATTCTAGAACTGATAAAAGCGTGGATGGTTTTCTCCAGGAAAAAACAGACATGGATGGATTGACCTAAATTCCTAGTTATTCAAATCTTTTAAAACATAGAACCAGGATATTCCTTAACAACAGGGTCTGTGCTGCAATCCACCTGCTGCGTGGATTGCAGCACAGTGAGTTCAGACAGAGACAGAACAAACTCAGCAGCAGTAGCAGCAGTAGCAGTAGCAGCAGTAGCAGTAGCAGTGGTAGTGGTAGTTGTCTGATTGTGGTCAGACAGGTGTGTGGGTGCAGCTCTCTCATGTATGAGTCGTGTTTGTGGAGGGAGAGTCTCATTCATGTGTGATTCATCTGAGGGTGAGGTCTGTCTGAAAGCACACACACAACTAAAGTTACAGACCCCAGCTTTAAACTTGTGTTATTTATGAGACTAAAGTTACAGACCCCAGCTTTAAACATGTGTTATTTATGAGACCAAAGTTACAGACCCCAGCTTTAAACATGTGTTATTTATGAGACTAAAGTTACAGATCCCAGTCATAAACCCCAGCTTCTTGCACACTCATCTCTCTTTTCTCTTTTTTTCAGATTCTCTCCGTTGCGGTGTCCACGTTGAAGTGGGCGGGGCCTGATGTCCAGAGCCCCGCCTCCTGCCGCCATGCCGACCGCTACAGTGTCTAGGCTTCCCAAGTTTACCCCCTCTTCGCGCCTCACCAAGCCTGCGCTCAGCCCCAGTAACTCTGCTAACGCGAATGCTAAAGCTAATGCTAATGTCGCAATGGGCCAAGCTGCCTCTGTGAACGGAGCTCACCCCATTAGCGCTGTTGCTAGCCGTCTCAGTAACGGCTTCTACCAGAGCTGCAGCGCAAGGAGCACTGTGAGTGTTAAACAGAGCGTTCGCGCACCGGTTAGCTTTGCTGCTAAATGGCGCAAGGAGAATGTGCAGGACGCGAGCGCCGACTTTGAGTACAAGTCCGGGAAGAGCCCAACAAGCAGGAAGTCTCCGGTGAGAAAGACCAGCCCCAGAGCCGTGCCGAGGTCGAAGGTTGCGCAAAGATCAGGTCTGAACTGTCTGCGGCAGAACGGGCCAACAGCACGAAGCGTCTCCCCGGCAACCAGCATCACCCCGGCAACAGTGAAGAAACAGGAAGCACAACGATCCCACTCCAGTGACGGGATCGGGCCGGCACAAAGCGGTAAGCTAGCAGCTAGTCTGGTTGAGTTTGGTCGATATGACGCTAACGTCTCAGCGGTACATACCACATGAAGCCAGTGGAGTGATGTTAACACTGGAGTGATGTGTTCTTGTGGATCCTCTCGTGTGTTCAGCGTCTCTTAGGGCGAGTGACAGGGAGCGGTCGCGGAGCCTGACTCAGGTGCAGAGGCCGAAGAGCAGAGCGTACTCCACCAACCGCAAGACAATCACTCCGCCCACCGCCGCCGCCACTGTCATCGTGAAGAAACCGCTGCTGCAGAACGCCGGCGCCACATTCAAGATCAGAGCCGCCATGCTCAAAGAGGTGGGGCCAGTGCGCGTCCAGAGCCAACCACGAAGAAACCTCAGGAGGGGGTCCATCGAGACGCCCTCAGAGACTAGTCCAGGTACTAACAGGGTCTACATCCAGTCTCTCTCTGGTCTCTCTCTGGTCTTTCTCTGGTCTCTCTCTGGTCTTTCTCTGGTCTCTCTCTGGTCTCTCTCTGGTCTCTCTCTGGTCTTTCTCTGGTCTCTCTCTGGTGTGGTCTCTCTCTGGTCTCTCTCTGGTCTCTCTCTGGTGTGGTCTCTCTCTGGTCTCTCTCTGGTCTCTCTCTGGTCTCTCTCAGGTCTTTCTCTGGTCTCTCTCTGGTGTGGTCTCTCTCTGGTCTCTCTCTGGTCTCTCTCTGGTCTCTCTCAGGTCTCTCTCTGGTCTCAGACCATGTGTTATCTGTGGGCTTGTTCCAGGCTCTTCCCCCACAGCTCCAGGCTCCAGTGAGGCCTCCTCAGATCATGGATCCCAGACAGAGGCCTCTCTTCTGGTGGAGCGGCTGGAGGACATGTCCCTGTCCTCCACCTCCTCTCTGGATCATCACACCAGTCAGGAGTACATGGACGACTTTGACAACCTCGGTGAGAATCGTCCTGGTACACATTAATGGTCTCTCTCTGGTTTCTCACTTGCCCCTCACTCGTCTCTCTTTGGTCTCTCTTTGGTCTCCCTCTCTCTGGTCCCCTTTGGTCTCTCTGGTCTCTGGTCTCTCTCTGGTCCCTTTCTGGACTCTCTCTGGACTCTCTCTGGACTCTCTCAGGTCTCTCTCTGGTCTCTCTCTGGTCTCTCTCTGGTCCCTAGACTCGGATCTGAAAAAGTCTTCTCTGTTGAAGGTAATGGGAGCGTGGCCGTGCTCCTGACCTCTTGTGGGAACCAAGACGATGACGACTCTGGTCTGGACCGCTCCCGCTTCCACAACAACGAAAGGGGGATCATCAGCAACAGCGTCTCCACAACAACAGAGCTGTGTTTCCTCGACGACGGGCTGGACTGGAATCACCTGCGACTCACGGCAGGTCAGTAACTGAGGCAGCCATCTTACTGATACTGAGGCGAATACCAAGCCCCGGTGATCCAAGATGGCGCCCCATTTGAATGGCTTGTGCTTAGTAGCGCATGGGACAGCCATGGGGACCAAGAGATTAGCGAAACTCTGGTCTGGTCCTCCCGGTTCTGCACAGTGAACGAGCTCCCATGATGTGTTCTAACCAATAAGAGCTGCTGATCAGAGCGGGGCTAGAGCGGAAGCAAAACGAGCAAAGTGCCTACTATAGTGTAGATTTATAGAAAACCAAAAAGATTTATAGAAAAAATCAGTCTGACAAGGGACACTAAAATCCCCACAAAATGCAACCTTTATAAAAGCTGTAGGTTCTCTGTCATCTGAGGTCCAGCTGTTTTAGTTTACATTGAGTTCTATGGGACTTTTTTTGGGGTAACCCACATGAATTAGGTCTGCAGTACCACGGGCGATGCCTGTCCCCATTGGAGGGACAGCTATAAGCTAGTAATATAAAAAGGCATCGTTTTTATATAGCGCTTTTTTGGACACTCAAAGACGCTTTACATGTCATTATTCTATCACTCTATACACAGTATTGGTGAACTACTGCTGTAGCCACAGCTGCCTTGGGGCGCATTAACAGAAGCAAGGCAACCAGTCTGTGCCATCAGCCCCTCCGACCACCACCAACCATTCAAACACACACCAGACTCATTCTATGTGTGTGTCTGTTCCTTCGCAGCAGGTGAAGTGTTTTGCCAAAGGACACAAAGGCAATTTGGCACTTTACAGCCGTAGCCACCCCACTGTGGCATCTGGTGTTACCCAGTGATGGGAATAACGGCGTTACTAACGAGTAATCTAATTGATTACTTTGACTGTAACTATAACGCTGACTCTATTGCCGACACCCCGTTACTGCACGTTACTCAAGTCGCACAATGAACTGTTTTCCCACACGCCCTGCTGGGCCTCGTGAGTTTGCTCCTCTCTCCAGCCCCACACCGCTTATTTTACACGGCTTGATTACTGCTTTGCCCACTTTTCCACCTTGTTGCAGACTTATTGTCCTCTATTGCCCCGTTCACATTATTACAGCGGCTGTAGATGCTCCGGTCGCGCTCAGCGTGCTCTGCGCACTGTATTTTCCCTCGTTCTGGTCTGTCAGGCGTGAGTGCTGCTGAACGGAGGGTTGTGTGTGTATGTGGGAACTAATTATTTTAAAATAGTCTCTTTCAATTGCAAGTTTTATAATGTGTTTGGTTTGATCAATGTATAAAAATAAATGCAATGTAATTTAAATGGAACCTTGGCCTGTCTTGTGCTTTGCAGGACAGTTCCCTAAACTAACATATAATACTCAAACTAAAATAGGGTGGCATTGTTGCAACAATTAATCTACTTAGAAGTTATCCTAAATTACAACCAGCTAAAGCTCGGTACCACGACAAACGAGTTACGCAAAATAGTTACTTTTACTGGTAACTAGTTACTTTTTTAGTGGAGGGACTCAGTTAGTAACTCAGTTACTTTTTGGGAGAAGTAACTAGTAACTATAACTAATTACTAGGGCTGTCAAACGATTAATTTTTTTAATCGAGTTAATTACAGCTTAAAAATTAATTAATCGTAATTAATCACATTTCAAACTATTGGCAAAATTATGTCATATTTTTCTGTAAATTGTTGTTTGAATGGAAAGATAAATGACAGCTTAGTGAACATATGTACTGTATTTGTTTGTTATAACAATAAATCCATATAAAATGGAATTAACATTATTAACATTCTGTCTTTCTGTTTAGACTCAGACCAAAACCATTGTTTGTTACAGATGAGGGACATTTCAAAATAGTCTGAAGCAGAATGTCATTAAATCTGTTTGATTTGCTCACACCATTACTTTTTTAGCACAACTAACATGAACTGGTAGTCGAAAGGAAAATTAGGTACCTCAGCTTTAATTTAGCGAGTGCGCTTTGGGAGAAGACACGGAGGAGACTGAGGCTCCGCAGTCCAGCTTCTGCGCTGCACATATTGTGTGCATCGGTTACGCAAAGACACGTACGCACACTAGAGAATAGTTCTGTAATAGTTCTGTGCGTGGTCTTGGATATGATCCCATTACGCAGCGCCGCTCGCCGTGATCACAGCCGCTGGAAGTGGGAACGATCCAGAGCGCTGCGGCGCCCACAGCTCATCATGCAGAGTTCATACAGGAAACAACAAGTGCCCCGCGGTCACGCGTGTATTCTTTCAAAACTTGAATTCCCAGAGACCTGCTCTGTCCCCATCTTACACACGCATGTGTCCGCGGCATTCTGAGTGTTATTATGGGACGCATGGGCATGCGTCAAATGCGTTAATTTTTTTAACGCGATTAATGAAAAAATTTAAATAACGTGCGTTAACGCGATAATTTTGACAGCCCTACTAATTACTTTTTCAAAGTAACGTGCCCAACACTGGTGTTACCAGAGGTTAAGTGTCTTGAGTCTTGAGTCTTGAGGTGGGCTCAAGCCCACAACCTTCAGGCTCAAAGGCCAAAGCTCTACCAACTGTCACTGTCGCCCCTATGATATAATATAATATAATATGATATAATATAATATATTTTATAATATCCTTTACAGATATTGTTATAGATCCATGACGAATACTGAGACATCCACACATTGGTTGTATTTTCTGAGTCTTAATCTGATGTTGTTTTTTTGCAGCAGAGCGGGAGCTGCGCAGACTCCGGAGACGACGCTCCAGTCAGCAGGACTTCCACAGCCAGGTCTGACCCAAACCTGCTCTTTAGACCAGTACCAGGAATAGGACTGAGACCAGGACCGAGACTTGGACCAGTACCAAGACCAGAACTGAAGTAGGCCATTACATCCAGGCTTTAGGTGCTATGTGACCGCGGCCACTGGGCCAGAGCACGGTTGAGAGAGGTGGCCAGAGCACGCTTCTATAGCCCAGATGAGGGGGGTCACTGTGGCGGATGGTGGGGAGTGGGGGATGAGGTGTGGTGGGGACGTGATATTGTGCGTCATATTACGTCTTCCGTTGGCATTTTCCCACACGTCCCTCCTGCACTTTCGTATTCTCCGCTTGTGTTAAATCTTTCATATCAGCCCCGGACTGTGCTCGAGGGGCGCAGGGGTGTGTGTCGCTGCAGAGCCAAAGGGAAGCGTTTCCTACAGGAATAATTCCCTCTGTCCTGACCCTCGCTCTCACAGTGTGGTGCTGTTGCAATAACACTTCAGACATTCAAGAATCAGTCTTTATTTAATCGCCAGAACACACACACACTTGTATCCTGCCAGCTCTGGCTGTGCGTTTATCAGCACCCCGTGAGGCTTTGTTTTAAATAGAAGAAGTGGTGTGTGATTTGCATGAGCTGTGGCTATGATCAGTGCAAAACACGGCATATTGAAGCATCGAGGATGTCGCGATGGATGAGGCAAAACTTATTGAGAGCAATTTGAAAAAGGGGAGAGAGAAAAGAGAAAAGACCTCCGACATATCCAGTGTTGTGAGATCTGTCTCTCATAAGTGCAGTAGCTCTGTGTGTGTGCGTGTGTATCTGTGTGTGTGTGTGTGTGTGTGTGGGAGCGCGCGGCGGTGACGAGAGCGCGCCTCGGAGGTAGACGGGGACAGAGCGAGAGCAAAAAGAGCGAGGTGTATGTAAAGTTTGTAAAATTAATAACACACATTTGTTAATAATCATTGTCATTAACAAACACTTATAACCGATGACTACATACTAAATATATTTTTGCATTGTATTTCCAATGGAAAACAGACCAGACACACGCCGACGTACGTATAAAATAGGATTGTTTCTAGGGCGCAGTGGAGCCACTTCCATTCACCCTCATGGAGAAAACGGAAACGGAGATGAAACAAACACGTTTGGACGGATACGTAGTATGTTTTAGGCAACCGGTGGAGTCGGGGCCTAAGTGAGCGATCAGCAGTCCTTGTGTGTGTTTGCAGTGTGGCTCGTCTCTGGACCTGTCTCCCTCTGACAGCTGTGGGTCTGGGGGGACGTTCCTCTGGGACGAGGAGGTGGAGCCTCTCGGGGGCTCTGTCCTCCACGCTCACACAGCCCCGGTCCAGGTCCAGGACCGGACTCAACCCGGACCCAACCAAGACCAGAACCAGACCAGACCAGAGCCAAACAGGAGCAACTCGATCCATGCAGGAAGTCTGCAGTCGGAGATCAGTGTAAGAGCAAAGACTAGACATGGACTGGACCAAGACTGGACCAAGACTGGACCAAGACTGGACCAAGCCTGGACCAAGACTGGACCAGGACTGGTCCAAGACTAGACCAAGACTGGACCAAGACTGGACCAGGACTGGTCCAAGACTAGACCAAGACTGGACCAAGACTGGACCAGGACTGGACCAAGACTAGAGCAGGACTCGACCAAGACTGAACTAGGACTAACGCAGCGCTAAAGCAGGTCTAAAGCAGGACTAAAGCAGGACTAAAGCAGGCCTAAAGCAGGATTAAAGTAGGACTAAAGCAGGACTGAAGCAGGATTAAAGCAGCGCTAAAGCAGGTCTAAAGCAGGTCTAAAGCAGGACTAAAGCAGGACTAAAGCAGGTCTAAAGCAGGCCTAAAGCAGGCCTAACTCAGGCCTAAAGCAGGATTAAAGTAGGACTAAAGCAGGACTAAAGTAGGTCTAAAGCAGGTCTGAAGCAGGTCTGAAGCAGGGAACTAATTCCTCATATCTGCGTTTCTCAGGACGTGTTTAACGAGTTGGACTCCTGTGACTTGGACGATGATGACCTGATGCTGGACGTGGATTTACCCGAGGACTCAAAGTCCAGTGGTACGAGCACACACTGGCCCTAATTTATGTCATGCCTATAAATATGCAGGAAGCGCCTGTTTTTACGACATATCTGAATGGAAGTTGGCCAGGAAGACAGTTTGGAAGCCTCAAAAGGCATGTAAAACGCATTCCTGAAAGTTTGTTCATGTTTGTTTAAAAAAAATATACGCTATATTAAGCTGACTTTCCATTTAACAAATTTGCTAAACTTTTTTGATACATTGATACTCTTGAACTTTAGAAGTAAATAAAAAATGAATTCATGAATATTAATATCTCGGCCTCAGCGGTGGTTCTCATCATTAACTGGATGAAGCGTCTGCAGCATCTTCTTGTGAATGCAATGGAGCGATCTCTGTGAGAGAGAGAGAGGATGAGAAGCTTTTGGGAAGTTATGGTTGATTATTTCACAGAGAAACTCTCAGAGAAGATCCAAAACTTCTGAATGATGTGCACCACATTTGAGGTGTAATTACGCAGCGCAGGGCCTGCCGCAGAGTTACAGAGCAATAGATGGGTCACACATTAAGTTAGTCAAGTGTATTTGTATAGCGCCTTTCACAGACCAGGATCACAAAACGCAAAAGCGCATACAGAAAAAAATAATACACTTACTTACTTTTTTTGCTTACGCCTCATTTGGCCGTACGCAAGTTTCATAAATGAGGGCCACTTAGTCTGTCACATTCTCACAGTTTCTTCTTCTGCAGAAGGAGGAGCTCACATGGCAGAGTGGAGGAGACGGCAACTTTGCTGGACACACACTGAGAGGTACAGAGACCAGAGAGAGACCAAAGAGAGAGACCAAAGAGAGGGACCAAAGAGAGAGACCTCAGAGAGGGACCAAAGAGAGGGACCAAAGAGAGAGACCTCAGAGAGGGACCAAAGAGAGAGACCAGAGAGAGACCAGAGAGAGAGACCAGAGAGAGAGACCAGAGAGAGAGACCAGAGAGAGACCAAAGAGAGAGACCAGAGAGAGAGACCAGAGAGAGACCAAAGAGAGAGACCAAAGAGAGAGACCAAAGAGAGAGACCAGAGAGAGACCAGCAAGACATCAGAAAGGGAGAAACCAGTAGAGTAATAAACACATGTGCATGTAGTGTTTAAGTCTCACTTCTGTCTCTACTTCAGTGACTTCACAGACTCTGAGAGGAACCAGAGGAAGGGCTCTGAACTGACCCTGGATCTGTGTCTCAACAGGTCTGAACAACACCACACAGAGGGGGAGAGAGAGAGGAGGGGAGAGAGAGAGGAGGAGGGGGAGAGAGAGGAGGAGGGGGAGAGAGAGGAAAGGGGAGATAGAAGAGTGGGGGGAGGAAAGCGGTCTGAACACCACCACAGAGAGAGAAGTTTGGAGTGGTTAGCAGTGCTTCTATGTCCAGTCTTTATTTCACCTTTATTTAAGCTTGGAAATCTCATAGAAATTCAGAGACCGAATGTTAGAGGAATAATACAATTGTAATCTCTGTGTTAGTGTGAAGACTGCTGCTCTGGAGCTCGATGTAGAGACGCTGCTCGTCGACTGCTCAGACGTGAAATCTCAGCTGGAGCATTTGCAGAAAGTCCTCTTCACTCAGGTGAGAAGACCAGAGAGAGAGAGAGAGCACAGGGCCAGAGAGAGAGAGCACACAGGGTCAGAGAGAGAGCACACATGGTGAGAGTACACAGGGTCGGAAAGAGAGCATCCAGAGTCAGAGAGAGAGTACAGAGGGTCAGAGAGAGCACACAGGGTCAGACAGAGAGAGAGAAAGCACACGGGGTCAGAGAGAGAGAGCACACAGGGTCAAAGAGAGAGAGCACACAGGGTCAAAGAGAGAGCACACAGGTTCAAAGAGAGAGAGCACACAGGGTCAAAGAGAGAGCACACAGGTTCAAAGAGAGAGAGCACACAGGGTCAGAGAGAGAGCGCACACAGGGTCAAAGAGAGAGCACACAGGGTCAGAGAGAGAGAGCACACAGGGTCAGAGAGAGAGAGCACACAGGATCAGAGAGAGAGAGCACACAGGGTCAGAGAGAGAGAGAGCACACAGGGTCAGAGAGAGAGAGCACACAGGATCAGAGAGAGAGAGCACACAGGGTCAGAGAGAGAGCACACAGGGTCAGAGAGAGAGAGCACACAGGATCAGAGAGAGAGAGCACACAGGGTCAGAGAGAGAGCACACAGGGTCAGAGAGAGAGAGCACACAGGGTCAGAGAGAGAGCACAGGGACACACAACAGAGTGTGACATCACCACAGAGGTTTTAACGTGATTTTGTTTCCAGGACGACGATGCAGATGAAGACACGCTGACCACAGACACACTGAGTCCAGAGACCGAGTCCTCCTCTGACGGGACCGAGACCCAGGTCTGGACCGGGACTAGCCCGAGACTTAGACCAAAACGATGACAGTAGTTTTACTTAGCATAACGATGTACAGTTGTGGTCTGTTATATTGTGCTAACATGTTTGGACTACATTTCCCATGATGCTGTGCTCCACAGGTGGAGGTGCTGCTACAGGAAGTGCTTCAGCTGCGACAGGAAGTGAGGAGCAGAGACCAGACCATTGCCGAGCTCTCCCTGCAGCTGGTACGAGTGTCTCGAGGGCTCTGCACATGGTTCATAGGCCGGAACACTGCACTATGTTCTGTAGTTTGTTTATGTTAATAATTAAAAATGAGGATAATAATAATAATGATGTAATGTTGTGTGGGCCACAGGGCGCAGTGTCGGCCGCGTCCAGCAGGTGTCGCTGTGAGGCGCAGAGGACGGAGGTTCAGACTCAGACCAGAGAGACGGAGACTCAGAGTGTGGGCTCACAGACCAGCCACAGCACGGTAAGAACAGGCTAATTACGTACTAATAACATGCTGATGACATGCTAATAACAGGCTAATAATATGATAATTACATGCTAGTGTCAAGCTCATAACAGGCTAATTACATGCTAGTGTCAAGCTCATAACAGGCTAATAACATGCTAGTAACAGGCTAATGACATGCTAATTTCAGGCTAATGACATGGTAAGAACAGAAGAAAAAACTGTTTGGTCTCATGACACACAATACACTGGACACATGACCTCTGTCTCCTCTGACATCTGTCTCCTCTGACCTCTGTCTCCTCTGACCTCTGTCTCCTCTGACCTCTGTCTCCTCTGACCTCTGTCTCCTCTGACCTCTGTCTCCTCTGGCTGCTTTCACATTACCTTTCGGTGAAGTGGACTTTGGGTCTGGGTCCTGGTCCTGATCTTGTTCCAGGTCCTGGTCCAGGTCTGGGTCTTCTGTCCTTACACCTGTTGTGTGTCTCCTCTTTGTCAGCTGCTGCCTCCTCCTCCTCTCCTCTTCCTCTCTCCTCCGTGGCAGTACCAGAGATCCAGTCCCTTTAGAACCAGGACTAAACCAGGACTGATCCCGGTCTGTGCCAACAAACGTGAGTCGGGACCGGGACTTAAAATAGACTAAAGCAGGACTAAAGTAGGACTAAAGAGGTGTAAAGCAGGTCTAAAGCAGGTCTAAAGCAGGACTAAAGTAGGACTAAAGCAGGACTAAAGCAAGACTAAAGCAGGACTAATGCAGGACTAAAGTAAGACTAAATCAGGACTAAAGCCACTTCTTTTGTCTCTAACCCTGTGTGTTCTGCCTCCATGCTGCCCCCTGCAGGAGAGGAGACGCTTGTGCACTACTTCACTGACACGGCCCGGTACTGAACTCTAAAGCATCCGGAGAAATTAGTTTAATAGAGAAATAGACCAGAGGGGGCGGGGCAGGGGGCAAAAGCTAATTACATCTGCAGGTCTGTATGACTGACTCTGTTCTCTTCTTTCAGCCTCAGATACTTCAGTCCATTCACAGCCTCCAGGACCCACTGAGCCACCAATCAGGAAGTCCCGCTGAGGATCCTGGGAAACGCAGTCCACTCCCCTCCAAGCTCCGCCTCCTCATGTTCCCAGGCTCCTCCCACTTCAAGCCCTCCGCAAGCCCCACCTCCAAGCGCAAAGCAGGAAGTAAGATCAGGCCCGGCCCCACCCCTTCCTGCCCGTCGCCGTTGGTTTCCCGCCTTCCCAAACCAAAGACTCAGTGAGCAATGCAAACCTATGGGGAATGGGCCCAGGAGCTAACACCGCTAATGCTAAAGACTGTAGAGCATGCGGACGTATTGCAAACCAATAGAGACATGACAATAAAGCTAACACCGCTAATGCTAAACAAGGGCTGTACGATTTAAATTCAATTCAATGTATTTCATAGATCTGGGACTGAGGCTGTAGATCCAGGACTGAGGCTGTAGACCCAGGACTACTGAGGCTGTAGACCCAGGACTGAGGCTGTAGACCTTACAGTTTGGTGGCTAATCGTGCAGCCCTAGCATACGCCATGTAAACCAAGGAGAAATGACACTGGAGCTAACGACACTAACACTAAAGACTCAGCGAGTACAGGGCAAACCTATGAGAAATGGGCCGTGGAGCTAACAATGCTAACGCTAATGCAGTTTGTTGAAGCTATATTGACGTGCAATGACTGCTGGGAAACGTAGGCGGACACGGACAGGAAGTGGAGGGTTTTTGCGTCTAAACTTTTGTGACTCAAATTCCACTCCTCCTTCTCTTCCTGTTAGTGTCTGAAGTCACGTGACCTGCACTAACCAATCGGCCTGTCGCCATGGTAACGGTAATATTCTCAGGTTTCACTCTGGTCTCTGGTCCCTCTCTGATCTCTCTTAACTTTGGTCTCTCTGGTCTTTCTCTGGTTTCTGGACTCTGGCCTCTGTTGTCTCTGGTCTCTGGTCCCTCTCTCTGGTCTCTGGTCCCTCTCTCTGGTCTCTGGTCTATCTCTCTGGTGTCTGGTCTCTCTGGTCTCTCTAGTCTTTGGCGACAGGCCGACACTATAAACACTGTAAACCAGAGGAATCTGAGGTAATTTATCCAAATGTTTTTAATGTATGAAAATTTATGCACATGTATTTATTATTGTTAAGAGGAAGATCTGCGACGGAATAAAGTCTGAAACAAGCCTGCGTCATATGTATAATTTCTATTATTAACAAAGACCAGAGACCAGACAGGAACCTGCGGGTTTAATGTAATGTAATACTGGTCTTGTCCAGCTGAGTGCGCTGTTGTACCTTAAACAACTGTATGTGTCATCCAGTGATCTATGGAGACCAGAGAGAGACCAGAGCAGACCGTCCTCCTGAATGAACGCACAAGACAAGGGGACAGAAGGTTGCATTATTCAATTAGCATTAATTATTAGTTTTAAGCAAGGTCCCGGACAGCTCTAAGTCTGGTCCATGGCCTCCTGCAAAAGTCTACATAACTACCAAAGTCTGCAAAAGTCAGATTGTCACAGAGAGGAATGGCGTTCATGTTGGACTTAAATGCAGATGTAAACACATAGACTTTGGAAACATGACATGGCAGAATGAGCCGTTCAATGTAAAGAACACGTAGGGATAGACTGGTATGACCATAAGTCTAACTTGAGATAGTATCTGTGTAATGTACAAAGCCTTTGTGAGCAGTGTACCAAACGGCGGAGGGATGACAGAGACAGGAAGAGGCAAATTGTTGTTGGATTCTCTCGAAAAGTGACGGGGGACCTCAACAAAACCCAGAGAAACATAGGTCATAAGGACCGCGGTAAAGTGGCCCGCATCTTTCAGCTCTATGAACAAGCGGCCAGCATCGGGGAAAATACGGTGCGCGTTTCTTTGAGAACTTACGGTAACAGCGGAACATCCTTTCGGAGTCACCCATTTTTATCGAACAGAAAGCGCGCTGGGGTCTGGGAGACACGTTTTTTGTGATTAAAACCTTATAGAGATGCCACCCGGCACACATAGCACCAGCCCCCTACGATTCCTCCGGCAGATTGTGAGTCCTCAGGAGGATAGCCACTCTATTGTTTACATATATAAAGTACACAATTTGGTCCGCTAGTGCAATTTTCAAGTATTGTAACTATTTACTGGAATAAGGTGTGCGACTAATTTCACTTGACTCATGAGCTTATTATTGCCCTCTACCACTGTACCAAAGACCAGACACTTTAACTGTAGAAATATTGAGAAATATTGATTTAAAGTAGCCCTTTTGGTTCAAAATACCTCCAAAATAGTCAAAACATGTCACTTTTGATCTACTGTAACTTCTTACTGTAAAAAGGTGTGCGACTAATTTCACTGGATTCATGACTTCATTATTGTCCTCTACCAGAGCTGTATTTGCATTGCCGGCAGGTGCAGGCTGCCCTTTTTCACCGCTTCTGTTTACTGTCATAATGGACAGAATTTGTAGGCGCAGCCAGGGGCCGGAGGGGGTCCGGTTCGGAGACCACAGGATTTAATCTCTGCTGTTTGCCGACGATGTTGTCCTGTTGGCTCCAAGGAACCAGGACCTGCAGCATGCACTGTGACGGTTTGCAGACGAGTGTGAAGCGGCTGGGATGAGAATCAGCACCTCCAAATCCGAGGCCATGATGCCTGACCGGAAAAAGGTGCCTTGCCCTCTCGAGTAATGAGTAATGATTATTTATATAGCGCATTTATATATATATAAAAAATATATATATAGCGGGAAAAAAAGCATCTGCGCATGCGTCAGCCGGCGCAAGCTCCATTCATTTGAACGAGAGACTTAAAAAATTCACAGCGAGTAAAGTAGAGTGGTCCAAAAAAATTTACCCCCCTCAGCATTGACACACATGTGGAACGGAGCTTTGGGCCAAGAGCCAACTTTTGGACCATCCTTTTCGAGAGGTCTGCCAATGCTATACGTTAGCATTGGCTAATTCTTAATCCGGGTCCACCCCCATCGGCCCGGGGTGGTATTGCAGCATGTCAGCGCATCATTTTGGCCACTTTCGAGCCGGGACCCGCCCCCACTAATCAGCCCCCAATCTTCATTATCCATTAATACCTATTGAGCATGTTTTTAGTGCCAGGGGAAACCGGAGCACCCAGAGGAAACCTATGCAGACACGGGAAACATGCAAACTCCACTCAGTAAGGCACTGTTCCGACTGGGATTCGAACCCAGGACCTTCTTGCTGAGAAGCGAGAGTGCTATCCACTCAGCCACCGTGCCAAAGTGGAGAGGTCCTTCCTCACGTGGAGGAGTTCAAGTATCTCGGGGTCTTGTTCACGAGTGACGGAAGGATGGAGCGTGAGATTGACAGGTGGATTGGTGCAGCGTGCGCAGTGATGCGGCCACTTTCGATTTACCGAACAATTCTTGTTCCCTCCATCACCTCTGGTCATGAGCTTTGGATAATGACCGAAAGAACGAGATTGTAGATACACCGAATATACGGTGGGAAAGACTGGTTGGGCACTCCCTTAAGGTGTTTTCACCCCGGACTCAACTTAGACTTGAAAAGCGTCAGTTTTGCACTGAAAATGAATAGTGAAGCGCGTCAGGTGACGCTGAGAGGCCCGGCTTCACTTGAAGCGCTTCAAAAGACGCGAGCATTATGCGCGTCACTTGAAGCTTTTGACACGCGTAATGCTTGCGTTGCGTCTCTTTTGTCGTAAAAAAGTCCCTTAACGCCGAAGTTGAGAAAAGCTTTTGGAGCTTGACGCCGGGCTTCAACCAATCTGGAGACGAGGAGCAGCAGCAGCAGCAGCAGGGCTGTCATGTAGCTGCTACTGCTTTTTCATTGTCATTATTGTTATTATATTATTTGTATGAATAGTAACGTTCTTAAAAAGTAAGTAACACAATCAATGTACATATGCTGTGAAGTTAAAGTAATTTATTTAGTATAAGAACAAGCTAAAGCTGGCTCAGACACAGCAGACTGAAAGACAGGCGCTCCTCCGCGGGAATCAGTGCGAGCTCCAGGCGGGAGCGAGAGAAGCTCCTCCCACCCGGCGTCAGGAGCTTCAAGCACCAAGGGGCGTTCACACCGGACCCAGCTTCAAATATTGCGCGTCAAAAGCGTTTTGAAGCTATTGGTCTGAAAGCACCTTTAGAGATAGGGTGAGGAGCTCAGTCACACGGAAGGAGCTCGGAGCAGAGCCTCCGCTTGTCGACAAAAGGGGCCGTAGCCCCTTTTGTGTATTTTTTACCAAGGGCGGTACTTTGACTAATTATTTCTCAAAATTTCCACAATAAAAGTTACAGTAGACCAAAAGTGACATGTTTTGACCATTTTTAGGCTATTTTGGACCAAAATGGCTACTTTAAATCAATATTTCTCAATATTTCTACAGTAAATGTTTCTGGTCTTTGGTACAGTGGTAGAGGGCAATGTTGAGGTCATGAATCCAGTGAAATTATTCGCACACCTTTTTACAGTAAAAAGTTACAGTAGATGAAAAGTGACATGTTTTGACCATTTTTAGGCTATTTTGGACCAAAATGGCTACTTTAAATCAATATTTCTACAGTAAAAATTTCTGGTCTTTGGTACAGTGGTCGAGGTCAATGTTGAGGTCATGAATCCAGTGAAATTAGTCGCACACCTTTTTACAGTAAAAAGTTACAGTAGATCAAAGGTGGGAATGTTCTTAGTTTTGTGTATTTTGGGCTAAAAAGTGTACTTTGTCTCAATTTTATCCACAATTTCGAAAGTAAAGGTTTTTGGTTGTGCACAGCGGTGAAGGCAGTGGTGAGGTCATGAACCCAGTGGAATAAGATACTCAAGTCTTTACTGTAAAAATGGACAGCAGCTGAAAATTTCACTTTTTGACCAAATTAAATGTCGAACATTTTAAGTTTTTACATGCTTTTCCAAATAAGGGTTTATTCACAAAACGAGTCTCCTAAGCGTGCTTTCTGTTCGAGGAGAAAAGCTGACTGCGAAAGGCTGTTCTGCTATTACCGTAAGCAGTCAACAAAACGCGCACTGCTTTTCTCTCGATGCGGGCCGTTTTACTTCGGAGGTGAAAGATGCGGCCCACTTTACCGCAGTGTCATACCGTAACACACATGCGCACTAGTATCAAACTAAAAAGCAGTTTTCAAGTACAGATGTAAGCCTTTTTGAAACTCCATGAAAGTGTCTGTATCAATTAACAAGCAAAATGATATAGATATTTACAGGATCCATGAATAAACCACGATACTACCTACCTAC